AGAGCCCAATTTCCCTAAGTTAAGGAATATGCCTTAAACCATATCAGGAATCCTATCATAATTTAAGGTACATTCCTTAATTAAGGGGTATTGGGCTCTCTGGGCAAGTCTTAGTCCCTAAGCCTCCCGAGTCATAGATCGTCCTGTCCCTCAACACTGAGCCCCAAGCTTACCTTGGGTTAGGAATGGGGTACAATTATAACTACTATTACTACCATTCTTCCGTTCCCTACTAACCAAAGGTTTCCAAGTTGTACAGCCAATCGGCTAAATCCCTAAAGCCCGAAACCCTGGCCTCGGAGCTAGATCCCTGAAGCCTCTAGCCCTATAACCCTAAACCCTAAACCCTATCGTAGTCCTCCCTGAGGTGGATGTGCACGAAGTTCGAGAGAACCAAGGAGGCCACCGGGGGCGAAATGGCTTGGGCTTGAGAGTTGTTTGGGTCTGGGAGTCTAGGGGTAAGGGCTTTGTGGCTGAGGATTTTGAGGTTTTTGGCTTTAGGGTTTTATGTTAGGTACGGCCCCCACTCAGTAATAGTTGTATAGTATTCATAATATAGATATACTAGGACCTTAATAGTAGCCCTATTATAGACTCTTACTCTATGGGGGCCGTACCCAAGTTTTATGGCTTTTACGGTTGAGGGTGTAGGGTTGGGGGTTTGGTCTTGGGCTTCGTGAGTTCTTGGGGACATTTTAAGGGCTGGCTATCTTGGTCTGAGATGGTGGGCTTCTGAAGTTGTCGGAGATCTTTGGAGTTGGAAGAAGCCCCGAACTCTTAACCCTAAACCCGCGGCTTTAGACTTCCTTCGATCTTTCCCACCTCGGAATTTCGGTGGGTATCTGCTCTTTCCGGAACCTGAAACCCTTCAATCCCTCCATGTTGTTGGAGGGATTGCTTACAGGCTCATGGGACGTAGCAAGCAAGGCTATAAGTAGGTTATTATTAGGATAACCCCACTTAGGGGACTTATAACCCCAGTTATCACCTACTTACCAAGTCCCATGATCCTCTAAGTACTCCCTAAACCCTGTAGACCCTTTTAAGGAACCCTATAGATCCCCTATAGATCCCTTTAAGGAGCCTTACTTAATGCCCTGTAGACCCTTTTAACGATGCCCCATAAAGCAAGAGCCCCCCAAGCCTCGCCCAGAGTATCACTACTGGAAGCCTAAGGAGTCCGTACTCGCAATCGTATCCCCTTCGTAGCGCTTAGAATATAGACATGCGGAGATACCGTTGATGATATAAATCCTGCATGACCCATAATAAGGAATATATGGGAATTATGGGATATTCCTTATTATGGGTCATGCAGGATTTATATCATCAACCGTATATCCCCCCCCAAGACAAAGTTTCATTCTGAAGGCCTATATATTTGGGCAATCCGAAGCCTTGACACACCGTTTCAGAGCGTGCCGAGGTCGTCTAACATTCCGGTGCCCAGATGCTACGGTCTGGTCAGCGTGGGCCCCAATCGCCAGTTGCTTCTGCAACTCGCAGTGGGTTGTTTAGCGGTTCAGTTGGTAAGGTCACCAGTCGAATCTTGTAGGATTCGGCTGTGCTGGGAATCTGCGGGGTCTGATCCAGGGCCACGCTCAAGGCTTGTTTTGGATGTCAGCAGGGCGTAGTTTTCTGGGACTGCGTCCTAAACCCTAACCCTGATGGCATCACGAGCTGAACCCAACGAGGGGCTAGGGAGCCACACTTTTTCGAACCCCGGTGGTCATCAACACCTTCCGCCGGAGCCTGTCGCAAAGGGAAACCACAATGAAAGGACAGTGTCAAATCGCAAGCGGGAGTGCGAAACTTTTTCAATGCCTATACTGTTTTCGGGTTCCCTATTCTGCTTACACTAAGATATACACCAACACCCTATTCTAATTAGTAAGGCCCTTATATTAATGCACCCCAAGAGCGCCAGAACCCCGAAGCTCAGAACAACCGCCCAACTGAAACGACTTGACTCAAAAGACTGCATCAGGTTCGCACTCCAGAAGAAGCTCTAGCAGCTTTGATGGAGGCGTGGCTTGGATTCTGGGAGTTGGGCAACTTTTTTCCGGGAGAGTTTCAGAGATTGGGTGCTTTTTCCAGTCTGAATTTGCCAAGATCACGGATCGGATGGCGAGGAGTGCGAGGTCTTTTTTGGACTGCAGCACCGTGCAAGCTTACAGTTGGATGTGATGGTGACGGCGGTTGAGAGCTTAAGTTTCAGCGTTCAGGGTCCAGAGTTAAGCCATGAAAAAAATCTCTGCAGGGTTTAGGGTTCAAAGTCTAGCGTCTTGACAGGTGGTGGGTTTCGTGGTTTGGGTCTAGGGCTTCAGGTGTAGGGTTTAGGGTTAAAACCTTAAATCCTAAATGCTAAACCGTGAACCCTAAACCTTAAGCCTTGAACCTTCTGCAAATCGAGTGAGAAGCCTCCTCCAGTCTGGCGTGGATGCTATGAGGAAATCAGCACAACACAGCTCATTGCTGGACACCCCCACAGGAGAACCAATACAGGGGCGCAATGATAAGAACAGAGGTTCGGGGAATATTATGGTATAGGTCTATAGGGAAGGGTTATCGTGACTATCATCCCCAACTCTTGAGACCTTTCTTTATGAGTCCTACACCTGAAGCGGCAGCTTGCCAGTCTTGCGGCATGTTGTCATATAGTAGAAGCCCAAAAGTTAGAAACCCAATAGCCTTACAGGGAGTTGGAATATGGTTTCAGGGTAGGATACCCTAATTTACCATAAGGGTTTAGGATAATCATATTCCAACTTTCTGGCTTTGACTTTAGTCCTTAAGAGTCATGTATAGGGAATCCCAGAACCATTTGCCCTTGATCCGGTTTCCAACTGTAGAGGTTTACTGTAATACCTTGGCCTAAATAACCGCCTATACTTTTTTGGGTTCCTTTCTATAGTTATATAGTAGCATGTATCCCCTTTTCTAATAGGACAGAACAGCCCTAAACCCTAAACCCTAAAACCCTAAACCCTAAACCCTAAACCCCTTGAGCACAGCATGGCAAGGTGCAGGCCGCGAGCCCCGAGCCCCAAATTGCAGACGTTAGATCTCTCTAAACCCTACAGTGAACCCCAGAAAGTTGGAACATGGGTTTAGGAGGATTCGTGCTAGGATCCCTTATACTTTACCTTAAGGGCATGAGGAGAATGATGTTCCTACTTTCTGGCTTCTACTCTAGGCCCTAAGCCCTGAAGCCCTAAAGCTCTGAACCCTAAACCCTGCAACCCCTCAACGCCCGAATCCCGTAGATTCGGACTTGTAGATTCTGACTATAAACCCTGACAAAAAACCGAATCCCCCAACCCTAGATCCTAAGCCCAAAACAGTCCTCTGACTTCAACTGCTTGAGGGCTGCAAGAGGAGGGAGGTCGCCAAAACAGACATGCCAGATGCCCAGCGCAGCGCTTCTTTCTGGTCTACGGGGACCTCGATACCTGGAATAGAGGTGTGGGGTATATGCCGTTTTACTTGTATTGATTAAGGACTACAAGATAGTCTTATTACTAAATACTCCGACCCTTACATTACGTAGGTCTTCCCCTCAGAGATATCCTGACGTACTTCTGTGCTTTTTGGAGTGTCGGGGTTCAAGCTGAATCTTCGAAAAAGGGGGATGGTCTGTACTTCAGGGGTTGGGATGCAATGAGAAAATGTAATCTATGTTCTTCTAAACCCTAACCTGTAAGCCCTCAACCTTACCTCAGGTTGTTGGGCTTCTGGTTGTTGATTTTTTGGTAGACTCTGCAGCCCTTTGACGTCCGTTTGGCTCTTTGTCTATCCTTGTTAGCATAGTAGAAGCCAGAAAGTACATGATTATCCTCATGGCCTTACCGTGAAGCATAAGGGATTCCAGCAGCAATCCTCCTTACATCCGAGACCCCAAATCCCAAATCCTAAATCCCAAAGCCTAAGACCCATTTTCCAACCCTCTGGGGCTCCGAGTAAGCCCTACAGTTTCCAGGTTGGCATTGCGAGAGCATCTAAACTCTAAGCCCTGAACCCACCGATTGATCTTAAACCCGAAACCCTCAACCCCAAACCCTAAACCCTGAACCCGAAACCCTAAACCCGAAACCCTAAACCCGGCGATTGGTCTTGGGGCTTCTTGGGTGCGGGCGGAAAGTTGACCTGAGGCGGGTCGGAGACAGGGGCGTGGTTAAGGGTTTAGAGGTTTAGGTATCTCGGGTTTAGGAGTTTAGGATTTTTTTTGGCGGTTTAGGGGTGTAGGGTTTACGGGTTATAAGGGGTTTGGGTAATTTTTAGGGTTTAGGGGTTTAGGGGTTTGGGGCCAGAGCTTAGGTGAGGAGGGTGGTACCGGGTTGTGTGTGGACTGCAAATGGCCCCACCGCAATCAGGGCCGTCCTAAACCGGAAGGGGGGGACGCGACGTGGTGTTTCTTCGCGCGTTCTCCTTATCGCCATCTACTATAAGGGTCTACATAATTACAAATACCATTTTTGGGGTTCCGTATGAGAAACATGGTATAATACCTTGTTCTAATCACTACGGCCCGTACATTAGGCAGTATGCTTGATGCCTTGCAAATCTAATCTCTCTCGGCTCAGAGATTTCCTTGCCTAGGTTCCTGGGGGCGACCGTTGGAGACTCGTCCTGTGATGAAAAAATACCAGCCCAGCCAGTCTTGTCTCACTTCAGCCTCAGCATCCCCTACCCTGCACCTTAAACAGCCGCAATGAGCGAGGGACAGGGAAGGTCACATGTATATACGTGTTTACGTATATATATATATATATATATATCTCTGTAAGATGCACACATACACAGGTACTTTGACAAGTTCGCGATTCAAAACTAAGCCTAAGCCCCAACCCCTCTACCTTAACAGCCCAACCTTGAAATAGAGCAAACCCTGCGGAACTCTTACAGCAGCCTTATGAACCCTTAAAGTTTGGGCTTGGGCTTCCAGCCTGTATCCCTAACCCAAGCCCAGAGTTCTGTGCGGGTGTAGAGCACCCAAAGCCATGATCGAGTACAGCGAGAACTGGCTCATCCTCACGATCTTCCGAAGAAAAGGCGCGGTCCTTACGAGAGCCTAAACAATATCATATTCTTATTCCCTAAACCTATACCCCAACTTAGCCTTTGAGCCCTAAACCCTATGACAGCCTCACGCCCTAAACCCTGTTATAGCCTCAACCCCCTAAACCCTAAACCCCTAACCCCTTAACACCTAAAACCCTGTTCGACTTACTTATTAAGGCCCCTATGTTATAGAACCCTTATAGTATCCCTTACAGTAACCCCTTTAAAGGAGCCCCTAAACCGAAAAAGTTTGTGAAGTTCACAGGCTCAGTCGCTCCTCGAGCATGTTGGTTCGCCATCCCCACCGGCGTGGTCGCCGCTTGCCTCGACAACTTGCGGATATTTGCGGTTTAGGGTTCAGGGTTTAGGGTTTATTTTTTTGTGTGAAGTCTGTGTTGAAGGTGATTTAAGGTCTTTGACAGTGTTCTGGGGTTTCAAGGTGCTTCAACAGTTTCGTGGAGGTGCTTCCCTGTCTTGTTGGGGTGTTTTAGCTTGCAGGGCAAGCTCTCAGGGGATTAGTGTTTAGGCTTCAGGATACCCTAAACCCTAAACCCCACACTCCCTAAACCCTAAACCCTAAATCCCCTAAACCCCAAACCCGGGAGGTCGGGTCATGGACCAAGCTTGAGAGCTTAGAGGTAGGCCAAGTAGTTCTCTTTCATCGGCTTCGGCAAACGGAGTTGGCGAGAGCCTCCTGACTTGGAGCCCTGAGCTCAAACCGAATTCCTACACCCAAAACCCTAAACCCTAAACCCTAAACCCCTAAACCCTAAACCCTAAACCCCTAAACCCTAAATCTCTGACCACCGCTCTGGCTGACGATCTTTCAGTGCGAAGGCCTTCTTCTTGGCCTTTGCGGACGAATGGGTCGGTCCAGACTTCCGAAGGGACCCGCGAGGGGTTGAGGGTGTAGGGGGATCCTTAAACCCTAAGCCCTAAACCCTAAACCATGAACCCTGAACCCTCAACCCTTACAGTAGAACCCGATAGCTGGAACATCATCGTCCTCATGCTCCTAAGGCAAAGTATATGGAATCCCAGCACGATTCATCCTAGATCCATGTTCCAACTTTCTCGGGTTCACAATAACCCAAAACCCTAAAGAAACCCTGAACCCTAAACCATTACACTTTAAAAAAAAAAAACCCTAAACCCTAAACCCTAACCCTAAACCCTAAACCCTAAACCCTAAAACACCCTGAACCCTAACAAGGAAGGGGGCAGGGAGTCTCAGAAGATCAGGGGCATATAGTGCAGACCTTGAGCAGACGGATCCTTCTTTGCGGGGCCCCTGAAGAACCCTTCATTTGTAGAACCTTGGAGGGTCGGGGGACTTAGTAAGTTGGTAGTAAGTAGACTTATAAGTACCCTAAAGAGGACCCTAATTGGGGTTATGGTACTTGTAAGTCCTTAAAATAACCAGTTACTAAGTCCCCTGACTCTCCTAGAACTCCCAAAATGAGTCCAGGGGCTGATTCTATAAACCCTAAAGCCCGGGCGATCTCCCGGATGTCGTCAGAGCACATCTCGGTTAGGGAGGGGGTTCTATAGTTTAGGGTTTAGGGTTTCGGGTTAGGATTCAGGGTTTAGGGTTTAGGATTCAGGTTTAGGGTGTAGGGTTTACGGCGTAGGCTTAAGGGTTTTGGGGTTTGAGGGTTTAGGGCTTGAGGGGTTTAGCATATAGAGATGAGGGCTAGGGTTAATTTAGTTTTTACGGTTTTGGCTGCTCGGGAAAGCGAAGCTGTGAGCTATTACCTTCATCAAGCATGGAGATTCGACGGATACGAACTCACGCATAACATAACTGTCGGGATAACTACTATATGGTAGTATTCCTTCTGGTACCTCATTATTCACCCACAGCCTACCCCAAAATCTTTCCTAATTATGAAGGCCCCTACATAAGACTCTCAAGAAGAGCTTGATTCAAAGAGTCACTGAAGCAGCCTCTAAGCCTTCACCTAGCGCTTAAGGGTTGCAAGAGCTCCACATCTGCACCAGAAGCAAATCCGAAGCCCGAAGCCTCAACTGCAAAGCAAGAGATGCCCTCCAATACGGAAATGCTGAGGGCTCCCCGGCTTAGGGTTTAGGGGTTAGGGTTTAGGGGTTTAGGGTTTAGGGTTTAAGGGGTTTAGGGTTTAAGGGGTTTAGGGTTTAAGGTTTAGGGTTTAGGGCCAACGTAGGGGCGGAACAAGACCTTAGTAGCTGAGTAGGTAACCTTTAACATGTTGGGGTTTAGGTAATCCTACCATAATTGCAAAGGTCAACCTTTTTTGGGCTAGGGTGCTCAGCCCCTAAGAGACAGAGCAAGAGCAACTTCCTGCTTCAGGGGTAGAGGGACGACTAGCTACTGATGTTCATGCAGTCCCTTTGGCTCTTATAGACCCTAACCCCAAACCCTAATACATACCACTCTGGCTTTTCCTTGTTATCATTATGGAAAAGTATACCCCAAAACCCTATTCTAGTCAATTAGGCCCCTAACCCGAACCTTAAGCTTTCGATACGTCGGCAAGGACTTTGGCCTACTAGAGGCCCAGCAAAGCCAGCCACCCGCCAGCAACGACTGATCCATCATGCAACTTGAATATGGGTAGTCCTCTAAATTAGGGTCCCTTTCTAAGTCCCCAATACAGTACGGCACCCTTCTAAAAAAGGACCATAAACAGGGACGCTGTTTTGGAGAACTACCCGTGTACTATAGGGGACTAAGTAATTACCAATTCTCTTTTCGGGGTCTTCATTCTACATTACACATTAATAGTACCATGGGCCCCAAAACCCGAGTCTAATGATCAAGGGCAGTATACGAAGCTGTTCTATCAGCCGAGAAGGTTGACCTCCAGTTCCTTAAGAAGCTGGGCCATTAAGCTTTAGACCAAGAGCACTGAAGCCCTAAACTAAGCCGCCGCGTTTGGATTGGGTGCTTGCCTCAGCCATGAAGCCCTAAATCCGTCAGCGCCCTTAACCCTAAACCCGGACCCCCAAACCCCAAACCTGAAATTCGAGCCTCAGTTCTTGAGAGATCACAGCCTTCCAAGGTCACGTTACCCTCGGCATCAAAACAGCCCAAAAGCCTTACATAGTATCGTCTTTGGGCCCAAAAGCCTTAATATATGAGTCCTCAGAGGGAGCATGCGATCGCCTCTGTATTTCACGAAAGACCCGACCTCCCCCGGGTAGTACCATTTTGCCCTTTTCATGTTGAGGTCTCCCTATTAGGCACCAAAGGGTACGCCGATTACTAAGAGGCTGCTAGGGAACCTAGAGTCATAGGCATGATAATGATGTTGATATCCACAGTAGAACGAACGATGGATAGGATAGGACCACAACTGCCTGTAATGCGGACGTCTGCAGATTACGGATTACGTGAGAGCATCCTCTGATCGTTCCTGTACAATTGTAATGCAGTGTACCTCGAAACCCAGTCGTCGCAAATTTAACGGTCCCTACATTTCCGAGAAAAGCATTCTGAAAGCGAGATTCCGGAAATGAGAAGCTTACGTATGGCCCTAATAAGCGGTAGATGAGTTAAAACCGTAAGTCCCGAACCCGAAGCCCAAAACCCCAAGAAGCCCTTAACGCTTGATGTCCTTGGAACACCTCTGCCCCTTGGGTTCCTTATTGCGTGTCAACGTGTATTTACAAGCCGGAGCCCAATTTTTTCAGGCTCTGGCAAGCCGCAACGGGGGTGCTCTTCGCACTCTTGATCTTCCGGATCAACAGGCGCTCGGGCTTGGTTTAGGGTTTAGGGTTTCTTTGTTTTAAATGTTTTTCGCATGTTTGAACGCTTAGGGTTTTCGGGATTTGAGAGTAGGGGCTTGGGCTTTAGGGCTTGCACCTGTGGTAAGCCTAAACTTCCTAGACCGTCAAGGTAAGGTTTCGACTTTTTGAACCGAATTCACTTTATCGCTCGAGTCACGAGCGGAGTTTGATTTTCTGTGCTAGTCCCAGGATTTCTACGACTGCGCATGTGATGTGCTTCTGACCCACATTGCAGAAAGTACGCTGGAAAGTAAGGGCAGTACTGCTGCAGCTGTTCCGGTACCATCCAGCTGGACCAGATCACCAGCTTGAGTCCATTTAGACATGCAGCCTAAAGTGGTAAACCCTGGACCCCAAACCCTGAACCTCTGAACCTCTAAACCCTAGATCTGAAGAACCCTAAACCCGCAAGAAAGAAACAAAGCCAAACCCAGCCCAACACCAGGTTCCAGTCATAAAACTCTCCCAAATTCAGATCGGTTCCAGTAGCAAAACTCACCCAAAATTCAAAATCGCCACAAAACTCCGCCCCCAACCAGCACAGCCAGCCCCCACAGCCCACAGCGCAGCCCACAGCTCACAGCCTACAGCTAGCCAGCCAGCCCAGCCCAGCCCAGGCCAGGCCAGCCAGCCCAGCCCAGTCCCCAATTTTCCAAAATCAGGTTTCAGTCAGAAAACCTGCTCAAAACGTTTCGGTCAAAACGTTGTTGGCACCCAAACCCTTAACCTTTTCTATAAACCCTAAACCTCTAAACCCAAAACCTCCAAGTCCTAAATCCCCCCCACGATGCCGAACCTGAAAAAAAGAAGCCCCGCAACTCCAGCAAGGCTCTCATCCCGAAGCCGTAGGCCCAAGGCTGGAAACCCGAAACCTGAACCCTACTTAGAGGATCATGGGACTTAGTAAGTTGGTTATAACTGGGGTTGTAACTCCCCTAAATGGGGTTATCCTAATTACAACTTACTTATAACCTTCCTTACTAAGTCCCATGAGCCTTTAAGTAACCCATAAACCCTACAGCAAGAGACTTCGAAGCAACGAACCACAACTAACCCTAAACCCTTGACCGCATCTAAGGCCGGAATTTCTGGAATCCAAAGCAAACCAAAAGCTAAAGAACGCTGTAATTCTGGTAAACGGCAAACAGGTAAAGATAAGCAATGGGAATACAGGTGCATCTTTAAAGAAACGAAATAATAGGTGTAAGTATATGTATGTCGACGAATTAAAGCTCGAAAGACGCCTGGCCACGGGAGTGCCTGGTGAGCTCTTCAAATGGTTAGACAAAGATAACAAATCTTTACTATTGAATGCCACAGGCAAATGTCTTGAAGGAGGAGAAGTCCCCGCACAAATCCTCAAAGCCGTAGTCGTATCGATTTACAATAAGGGTGACTCTACTTCTCTTGAAAATTATAGACCGATTTCGTTGTTGACGTCATGCTACAAAATTGCTGCCGCACTAGTTAAAGAAAGATTAGACCAAGGGTTGGACGCATGGCTCATGCAAACTCAATATGGATTCCGTAAAGGTAAAAGTACGAGTCAAGAAAAAATTTCGTGGCCAGAAGATTGCAAGATATGGCAGAGAAATCGAAGTGTAGCAGCACTTTGATACTTTTAGATTGGGAAAAGGCTTTCGGCAAGACCTTTCAGCATAAACCTATCGAAACTTTCAAAAGGCTGAAGGTACCGAATAAAATTAGGAACTTGGTGGAAAGCTTTTATAGAGACCCTCAGTTAAAGTTAGTATGGATGGAAATGATTCTGAATGGCTAACTCAACATACGGGTGTAAGACAAGGCTGCCCGCTTTCAGCTTATTCATTTTGCTTAGTCATGGGAGCCCTTTTTTCGGATATCAAAGTTGAACTCAACACTCCCAGGCAGCATCAGCCCATTGATGGCATTTATTTTTCGGAAATACTTTATGCGGACGACACTCTAATATTCGGGGCAAATACACATTGTGTTAATGTTCTTCTTCATGCAATAGACAACATTTAGCCTATTATGGTCTGACTCTGAATTATGGAAAGTGTGTTAATCTCACTGCGGACCAAAAGCAATCTTCTATCAGATTCTCCCCCTCGGAACCCTAATAACAGACACCTTCGATAATAGAGCTGAAGTTTCTAACAGAATCGATGACTGCATAGCTACGTGCAGCCGCTTGAAGTTGTTCTGGAATAAAGCTAACAACAGTATAAAGTGGAAAATCCAAGTATTCAATGCTATCGTCCGTTCCAAATTACTTTATGGGTTAGAATGTGTGCAGCTAACGAATGCGGAGCTCTCTACATTGAATGCCTTCCAGAACAAATCGTTGAGAAGGATCTTACACATCCCACCTACATTCATAGACAGAGAACAGACTAATGTCAGTATGTATGATAAAATACGAAACGAAAACGGTTGTTCAATTGAACACTTTGCGGACACATGGCAAAAGGCAAAGTTTAGGCTTTTTGGACACGTATTGCGAGCCAGCCCAGCAGACCCTCTAGTTCAAATTACTTTCAAAACTGACACCTAGAGCTCCCACCAAAGGCGGCCAGGCAGGTCCAAAGCAGACTGGACCACCGAAGCCTATAACGATGCATATAGTATACTCCATGGAGATGCTAACGCTTTTGACGTCAATAATATACAACATCTAAATGAGATTAAACAATCAGCCAGAAATCGTCAAGGACCTTTTGCTGCATAACATGTATCATGTAAGTGATACATCGGGACGCTGTCCCAAAGGCCATCGGCCTCTCGAGGTATTGCTCGCGGTAATGTCGTCATTGTTGCTCGGGAAGTGTGGTGCAAAGTTTTCCATTTCTGTATACTTCTTGCAGCGCTAAATATTTTGAAGATAATGTATCCCCAATGACTGCTGAACTTGTCTCACTGTCCTAGGGTACCTCCACTCGTGCTTTAGCATTCTCACAAGCCTGCTGGGAGCCCTCCTGCGCTCGACAGAAAACAAGTATCTTATCGATGTTCTTTTATATTATTTCGTTTAAGTTCCTTATCTTGTTTTCTACTTTTTCATTTTCAGGGCGATGGCACGCTTCTGGGAGGGAACCGGTCTCCTTCATCAGATGCGCCACTTGGCATAAGCTGAGGCGAATGCGGCACGAAGCACTGAGTGTTTAGGCTCCGGATTGAGGGTTTGGGGTTTAGAGTTTAGCGTTTGGGCTTCAGGGTTTGGGGTTTGGGTCTGGGGTAGAGTAGTTGGTAGGAATTTCCGTATCATGACATGTATTATGATTCCCTGTCCTACATATATCCTGAGCCCCAAAGTTTAACACCGTCGTCTTGAAGCAAAAGTTGGTGCTGCGCTCCGATAGGTCCGAATGCCTAGTACTACGATGCCTAGGTACCTCACGGATCATGGGACTTAGTCGGTACGGTTCCTTAAAGGGCTCAGGGGGTACTATAATTAGTTAGCTTACTTGTAACCTCAGCTACTAAGTCCAATGGTCCTCTAACTAGGCCGCATGTTAGCACCTGCACCAGCCTTGTTAAACGCGTATAGGCTTTTGCCATAAGCCCATACAGCCCTGCAACATGTATTAAACCCTATGCGTTTATAAAAAACCCCATACGAGGTATCGATTTGGGACAAGTTGCGGCCTCCCTTACTGTTTAATGTAGAGTAGAGCCCTAATTATACAAAGCTTTGCGGACCCTGGAGATCGGCACTACAGTAGCATAAAGCCACGCAAAAAGGAACCAGAGAGGAAGGTCTAAACCCTAACCCCTAAACCCTTAACCCTGAACTTTAAACGAATGTGCGATGGCTGACCAGGTGGTGAGTGGTTCGACTCGGTGAGTTGCTGTGTCACCTTCAGTCGTGCAGGCATTCTGGGATTTTTGCCCTTCTTTGGGTTCTATAAGGATTATTAGGTTTTAGGGTTTAGGGGTTTAGGGTTTAGGGTTTTGAAACTATATGGGCTACTACAAGCGTTCTGGACAAAAAAGGCCTTAATAATCTGGGTTCTTGTTATAACAAGGAAACCTCTTTATTCACTCTAGATCCCTATTATGGTAACTTAAAAATGAAGTCCTTACCAAGAACCCAGATTCTGGGATCTGTGTTTACTCGGTCTCCCACTAGTACCTTTTGCCCTTTGTCTTTTGGCGTCTCCTTATTACAACCGAACAGTAGGGAAAGGGGAAATCTTCTTATCAAGAGGCTACTGGATTCCTGCTTACAGGCTTTGGGTGGAGATCCCCCAAAGCCGAAATCCCACACCCTATACCCTATCCTCAAACCTCAAACCCGAAAGCATACAGCCTAAAGCTCAAATCACCTAAACGCCTAAAGCCAAATCCCCAAACCAAAACGCTACCGAAAGCCCAGACCGTAAACCTAATATAAATCTGAATCCCACTCCATCCTTCTACTATATACCACGATGTACCATAATATACCACAGTATGCTATGGTATACGGTGGTACACCTATCGTATATCACAGGTAGCTTTATTATACTGTAGTTTGCTATAGCATACTACAGTGCTCTACCACACATAATATGCTACCATACATGGTACTGCATGTTGTAGTTTCCAGTTCCATCCTTGCAGGCATGAAGGACAAGGCCGATGCGACTTTAGCTTTCCGCCACACGCCGCCTTGCAAGAAGCGAAGGGGGTCCTATGGTGTAGGGTTTACGAGTTTAAAGTTTAGGGTTCTGTATTCTGTGGTTTGGAGTTTAGGGTTCTATAGTTTAGGGTTTAGGGTTCTATGGTTTAGGGTTTAGCGTTCTATGGTTTAAGGTTTAGGGGTTTTGGGTCTAGGGTGTCAAGGCTTCTATACGGGTTCTTTGCAGGGTTGAATCAGGGGTCTGCGGGGTTCTAGGGTTTAGGGTCTACTTGGAAGGGCAGGGGACTTAGTAAGTTGGTTATAAGTAGGGTTATAATTAGGGTAACTCCATTTAGGGTACTTATAACTCTACTTATAACCTACTTACTAAGTCCCCTGCCCTTCCAAGTAGGGTCTAGAAGGGTTATCTAAAGATGTGCGAGCAGGTTCCGTAAGCATTCTTTCAGGGGAGCAAGTACTCTACGGGGTTCATTCAGGGTACTTATACGGTTTCTGTGAGGGTTCTATGAACCTTCTAGTATAAACATACCCTAAACCGAAAACCCTAAACCCTAAACTTCTATGAACCTTCTAGTATACTAAACCCTAAAAGCCTACTAAACCCTGAAAGCCTCGACTGGTAAGCCCAAGGATCGTGCGCCTGATGAGCCTATGCCACGGTCGGAGTCCTAGTCATGGTGCAGGGTTTTGGGCTGTAGGGGTTTAGGGTTTTAAGGTTTAGGGTTCAGGGGTCTAGGGTTTAGTTCAGGTTTTTTTTGGGTTGATTTTGTTTAGGGTTTAATGTTCAGGGTTCAGGGGTTTAGGGTTTAGTGAAGGGTTAATTTTGGGTCTAGGTTAGAAGCTGCCCCCACCCCTGTAATAGTGGTATAATAGGAATATAATAGGGCCCTAATATAATCCTATATAATCCTTATGGTCACTATTACAGGGTGGGGGCCCCTTCTAAGGTCTAGGTGTTTAGGCTTTGGATTTCACACATCGATTTGAATCATCGGATGTGGCGTCAGGGGTCTTGTCTAAGCCAGCAATAAAGCAAGTTTGGATATCAGGCCCTGCAGTTTTTTTTGTTGGGGTCTTGATGGTGGTGTTGCTTAGGTTTTGGGTGGTTTTGGAAGGTGGAACCCTACGTTCCCTACGTCTATCCACAGCCGTCGTGTTCGGATGTCCCCACCAGAAACCCTCCGTGGTGTAGGATCCTGGTCATGGCAACCCACGGCTATTCCCTAAAAGAGACCCTTCGCCGAGCCTCCCAGAAGCTGTGCTCGAAAATGGGGGTCGGAATACTTATTCATAGTATTCCCTTTGTAGCACCTAATATAACTGCATAGTATCCTCTTTGCAGCCCCTCCTAGCATAATATAGCAGAATACAGTATCCCCTTATAGCTGCTACAAGGCTCCTGTACCCTAAATCAACCCCTTGTTTTGGATTTTTTGTTATAGACACCCTGGAAGTAGCTCTTTTAAAGAACCCTGTTTTTTCCTTATAATGGTCCCTGTATCCAGTCGTGTTAGTTGTCAGGCACAGCTCTCAAAGAGATCGGTGGGGAGGATGCGACGGACTGTGCACCACGTCCAGACAGAGGATTTAGGGTACAGGGTTTGGGCGTGTTTTTCGTGCGGTGCGCTGCATATCGCATACCCAACACCTCAAGTCAGGGCAAACCCCAAACCTCAAATCCGAATGGGTTTTGGATAATTTTCTGATCTGCTTTTTTTGAAGCACCCAACGCCCTGCCCAAGGCTCCTTTGCCTCGACTACATCCAGAGGGTTTGGGATTTAGGGAAACCCTTCGCAACAACCTTCCATGAATCTCTAGAAAACCCAACAACGCGGCTAATATACAGCCTCGAACATGGCTGTGGATCTCACTATCCCCAAAATCCTCCGCCCACACCTTAAAGGCCTAAGCCCCCATAGACCCGTAAAAATCCTCAACTTAAGCCCAAATCCCTACACCCCGGAAGACCCTGAACAGAAGATCTCCACCTTCACAAACCCAAACCTCAAGCCTCTACTTAAAGGCTCATGGGACTTAGTAAGTAAGGTTATAAGTAGGTTGTAACTAGGATAATAGGGGACTTATAACATGATCCTTTAAGTAAGGTGACGAAACCCTGCACCCTGCCACGCAATAAACCCTAAACCTGCCTAAACCCTGAAGCCTGAACCCTTACCCCTGCTACACCCGAAGCCCCAGAACCTGTAAGCACATTTTCATATTTTCCTAAACTCACCCTTGCAGACCCTCAGCACCAAAACAACCCTAAACCCTAAACCCTAAGCTAAACCCGTAACCCTAAACCCTAAAAAAAACAACAAAAACTAAACTTCTAAGGTGACCATCGACCCGGCTGGGCTGGACACGGGCACGCTCCTGCATCTGCAGGCGTGCACGGATAGCTACGGCTTCAACCGGGTGGCGCCTCGGATGCTAAGGGAGTTTAGGGCCGTGGGTTGTTTTAGTTTGTACTTTTTCATGGTTTAGGGTGTTATTGTGGATTTTAGGTTGTAGAGCTCTGGGGCTGGGCTTGGGGTTTATATAGAGTTTTAGGCTTTAGGGATTGTGGGTTTGCATTGTCTGATTGATTGCCCGGACGCTCGTCAGCTTGCTGCACCCTTTCCCGAAACTGCAAACCCTCCGGTTACACTCTGCCTGCGCCTCGGCCTTGCCCAGAGACGGGCGAGGCGAGGTGGGCCACAAGCCCCCCTAAGCCTGCAGCCCGAAACCCGAAACCCGAAAACGTTGAAGTTCCTTATTCCAATTTATTATAATGGGCCCCAAAGCCCTATTCCAACTGTTAAGGTCCCTATATTTGCTCCATCCAGCTCAGAAATCCCCAAAACGGTCCCCCAAGAGGTCGACAGTCTGAACGCTAAGCAACAGCGGCCCGCTGCAGTCCCTGTACAGTTACATCATACTTAATATAGGGGCCTCAATAATTACCTATACTATTTTGGGGGTTGCTCACTAAATGTATAATCCAGTGGGCACCAAAACCCTTTTCTAATTGGTTACTTAACCCCGAAACAGTATTCGAAGCCTGATGACTCAGCTAGAAGACTCAGACACGAACTACAGTTGAAGCATGACTCACGAGCTGTAAGGAGTCCTGCACTAAACCCTAAACTCTACATTCCGAAGGAGCTTGAATGAGGCTCGTGACAAAAACGCAAGAAGGGCACCCCAGTAATGTAGAAGCTTGAATGATTACTAGTGCCCTTTTCGAGGGTTCCTCATAATTACAAGTGTAGTGTAATATACCCCAGCATCCTGTTGAAATCGTTACGGTCCTATATTACTCAGCACTTCCAATCCGTAATATAGGGGCCTAAATGATTACCAATGCTATTCTGACGTGTTCCGTATTATTAGTATAATGCACCCCAGAACCTTACTGTAATTTTGAAGGCCCCTATATTAGGGTTCTCATGTCGGCGCTGGGCGCTTAAGCCTCAAACATTGTAACCACCCTAAATCCTAATCTCTAAACCCTGAGCTGCAATCCTGATAACCCTAAGCCACACAGCCATAATCCTTCTAACCCAACCCCAAAACCCCAAACAGTAAACCTTATCACTTCAACCCAAAACCCGAAGCCTCAAACCCGACGCCTCGAAAGGTAGAGCCTCAAACCCGAAGCCTCGAACAGTAGATCTTAAGCTTTCTTCACTTCAGAACCTCAAACTTTCTTCACCTCAGAATAGTCACCGCTCGGCTCAGGAAGTGCTCTTGCACCTTATCCAATCGCTGATCACGACTCTCGGCTCCCACTGGTGCCGAACATTTTATGGGGTCTACACGTTACTATAGGAGCCTGAATAACTAGAATAGCGTTTTGGGGTATATTATGCTAGAATTACAATAAGAACCCCCAAGATAGTATTGGTAATTATTTGGGGCCCCTACAGTACAGCCTTTGGGAAGGTAGGGTCCCCGCTTTGGGGCACCCCGAAAAGAGTACGCTCCTAAGGGAGCCCTAATTTAGAGAACGCCGGGTTGCTGGCGCATTTTGGCTTCGTGTTTGAGGGTTCAGGGTCTAATGCGCATACCGCAGTTCATCAACGAGTCACCCCGGGCTTATCGGTCCCATACTTTTCGTGGTGGTGGTGGTGGTGGTTTCGCAACTATACCATTTCATCTAGACTATACAAAACACCCCAAAGCCCCATTCTAATTTTGAAGGCCCCTATACCCTAAACCAGTATAGTAGCCCTTCTAAAGCCTGCTTTTCAGGATCCCTTTAAGAAGGGGTGGTGGTCCCGATAGTACAGCCAGCAAAAGATCCCGAAGAGCTTCCACCCTGGGAGCTCGAAGATTTGGGCCTGAAGGCTGTTCTGAAGAGGGTTTAGGGTTTTAGGGGTTATAAGGGTTTAGGGTTTATAAGGGTTTAGGGTTCAGGGTTTATAAGGGTTTAGGGTTTTAGGGGTTTAGGGTTTAGGGTTTATAAGGGTTTAGGGTTTTAGGGGTTTAGGGTTCAGGATTTATAAGGGTTTAGGGTTTTAGGGGTTTAGGGTTTAGGGTTTATAAGGGTTTAGGGTTTTAGGGGTTTAGGGTTTAGGGTTTACAAGGGTTTAGGGTTTTAGGGGTTTAGGGTTTAGGGTTTAGGGGTTTAGGGTTAAGGGGTTTAAGGGTTAGGGTTTAGGGTTTAGGGTCAAGACTAATCTTAAGGAAGCCGAGTTATAGAGGCCTTCATGCCTTATCTTAGTAGCGCCCCTTTACTACCAAGCCCTTGCCTCGCATCTTTGGTCTCGAAGCCTTCATTCCATTCTGACCTGCAGTGCGGTTTTGCGTTTAATGCTTTCGGTTTAGGGGTTTAGGTTGAGGGTTTAGGGTTTAGGGGTTCAGGGTTTAGGGGTTTAGGGGTTAAGGTTTCAGGGTTTTAGGGGTTTGGGGTTTAAACGGTGTTTCGAGGGGCCGGACGGATCCTAAACCCTGAGCCCACAACCCTGAAAAGTAACTCATACGGTGGATGATATATATCCTGCATTACCTTAAGGACCCTAAACTATGGGAATTATGGTATATTCCTCATTATGGGTAATGCAGGATTTATATCATCAACAGTAGTAAGCCCGATGCAATCTTGGGAATCCATATGCAACCCTAGAGCTGAGGGTTTCGGGTTTAGAGATCCCTCTAAGCCTCTAAGCCTAAGGAGAGCTATAACAAGGCAGAGCCTTCAGGATTATACTGTTGATGATATAAATCCTGCATTACCTTAAGGACCCTAAACTATGGAAATAATGGCATATTCCTTATTATGGGTAGTGCAGGATTTATATCATCAACCGTATCCTAAACCCGAAGCCGTAGACCCTAACCCTAGCCCCTTACCCTAAACACTGAACAGAAAGGCCCCCGAGCCCCTGAACCCCTGAACCCCTGCACCCCGAAGCCTAAACCTTGGGTACGGCCTCCACTCAGTAATAGTTGAATAATATTCATAGTATGGATTTTTTTTAGGACCCTAATAGTAGCCCTATTACAGACTCTTACTGTATGGGGGCAGTACCTAAAGAATAGAACTATAAAACCCTTATAGTAACCCTTATAGACCCCTTTAAAGGAACCCTATATTATGATAAGGATAGTAATCCTTAGCCTTTAGACGTTGACCTAACCTAAACCCCAAAAGAGAGCCCAAAACGAGGCAGAGCCTCGATGATGGTATCATCCGCGTCCCGGCGCCCATCATTTCGCGAGTCTACCAGACGCTTTCCCGAGGCCGCCGGTGGGGGGAGGGTTTAGGGTTTAGGGACCCAGACCTCCCCCAAAATCGTCTATTAAGGAATACACCGTATAGATTCGTATAGATATGCCTTCAATTATTGTCGAATTCCAAATTTGATTCAATTATACTCCTTGTTTAAGGGGCCTTAGAAGGTCTGCGTACCTCAAGGACCAAATGACCCGTAAACGTAAGGGCCGATAGTAGGAATCCTTAAATGGTATATCACCCTTACACCGTTTAAGGGAAGGGTCCAAGGAGGAGTTTTTGGGTTTCGGGGTCTAATTTAGGACTTGGGGTGTAGGAGTTCAGGAGTTTAGGGGTCTAGGAGTTTGACATCGGGTTTAGGGTTTTGGGGCGGAGGGGCATAAACCTTAGTTACTCTGGTGTAGTTAGGACTTCGGTATGAAGCCTCCTACTTGGAGGGTCGGGGGACTTAGTAAGTAGGTAGTAAGTAGACTTATAAGTTCCCTAAAAGGGACCCTAATTGGGGTTATGGTACTTATAAGTCCCTAAAATAACCAGTTACTAAGTCCCCCGACCCTCCTAGCAGCTTCATCTTTGGTGTAAGTAAGGCCCAACAGTTTCGCCACGAGCCGATGATGGATCAGATCCCTGAATGCTGCAATCACTGGGCTTCTTGTTAAAGGGTTTAATCTAACCATAAAAAGGAAACCATACTGTTTACTATATATGCCTATTATGGTAGTTTTAAGCTAAGCTCGTTAACAAGAACCCAGATCATGGCTCCAATCCGATAATCTGGCGCGCTGCAGTTTCCTGCACGCCACTTGGTGCCTGACCTTGGATAAATATCTACCGCCGCATTTCATGACAACGGCAGGCCGGAGAATTAACAGTGTTTTTTCGGTTTCGTGGGATTGCTCCCTAAACCCTAAACTCCTAAACCCCTCAACCCCTAAACCCCTAAACCCCAAACCTTAAACCTAACCCCTGAACCCCTGAACCCTTGAACCCCTAAGCTCTTGTACCAACAGCCTTACAGCCCAAAGCGCTGCCCGCCTGTCTGCCTGCTACTCTGACTTCCTTCATCCCAAAGCTAAACTCAATGAGATAAGTAGACTATAGGGGCCTTTGTATTTACCTATTATACTATTTTGTCCTCATCATAAGGATAGGCCAAAACCCTATTCTAATTGTTGAGGCCCCCATATCACTATAATATACGCCTAAGCCCTTCTTAAAATGGTAAGTCGCCTCCACAAGGGTTATGCAGAGTGTGGGGTTTCGGGTTTTCCCGCTTCCAAGCTTGGAGAATGCAGGTTTCGTGAACCTCCTGAACGCCAAGAAGATTGCCACCCAGCAGAATGCTAGCTGTGGATTAGGGCTCAGGGCTTTGGGTTTAGGGTTTAGAGTTTAGGGCTTAGGGCTGAGGGCTTCGGTTCGGGTTTAGTAGGGCGGTGTAGGGTTTGGGGTGAGGGCTGCCTTTTTCAGAAGGTGCAGTCGTCGATTTGGGGAAAGCCGAAACTTGTCAGCATGTTTATGAGAACCGATACCGGTGCCGTGTCAAAGAGCAGCCTTGTGCAAAGCTTTCCACAAGGCCACTCACAGGGGCTTGTTATCTATACTATTTTGGGTCTTCTTATTATAGTTACAGCATAGTGGGCCCAAAACCTACTCTAATTATGAAGGCCCCCTACTGTAGGAGTGAAGGCAGCAAATTTTAGCTCACGAGGTAGCTTTAGATTTTAGATTGGCGGATCAGGATACAGAAAAGGCAGACAGGAGGAACGCGTCAGGTGAATAGTTCTTCAGAGCGGTTGTAGTCGGGTGCTGGTTCGGGGGCAGTGTTCCGGATATCGCGCAGCCGAGCATCTGAAGCGACCAAACCTTTAGGGTTTAGGGTGTAGGGTTTAGGGCTTATAGGGTATAGGGTTTAGCGGTTACGGCCTACAGGGATAGGGTTTAGGGCTTAGGGTGTATAAGGCTTAAGGCCTAAAAGCCCCGGCATCCTGCGGGTTCAGTTGCGGCACAAAGATCCTGAGCCCAAGGCTTGGGGGCCACGAAAGAAAGTCGTCCCCAACCCCAGTTCTGCCGAGCATCCTGAAACCCTAAACCCTAAACCCCTAAACCCTAAACCCCCAAAACCTAAACCCTAAACCCCCGAATCCCTGAACCGTGAAGTCCTCACCCACCTAGCCGCCCAGCCCCAAATCCTTAACCCAGAACCTGAAACCTGACCTTGTTCCGCTCACAGTGCAATTCTACCCGTTAACTTGCTAAGGCCTCCATATCAGGGTTTAGGGTTTCTGGATCTTGGCTTGAGGCTGATACTCGTTTCCCATTCCCCTTTGCGCAGCTGATCTCGCTGCTGCGTCTGGGCGGCTATTCTGGGTGTCTGGTGCGTTTTCGGGCTTCGGCGGAGATTTTCTGCCAGGGTTTTTAGTTCAGGGATTCATTGGGGTTAGGCTGTAAGGGACAAAATTAGGTTTAGGTTTAGGGTTTATAGTTTCAGCGTTTAGAGTTTATTTCGCATGACAGTACAGTATAGTATATTATGTTACAGTACAGTTTAGAGTTATCTGTATAGTCTAGTATAGTATAGTGTCCCACTCACGCATACTAGGCCAAAGAACTCCCTTTCCGCTCTCCTGACCCCGCAGTGGTTTGGGCCTGGGAGGGGCTTGGTTGGCAGTGTCTGGCATTTGTGAACGTGGAATTTGGTTCTTGGGGTTTAGGGTTTAGGGCTTAGGCTTGGGGTTCAACATGGTTAGTATTTGGTGTTTCAGCCTGTGGCCGGGGATCATGCAACACACAGTCTTCGGTGGTTCCGATTTTCCGATCCAAGCAAACCCTAAGCCGCCCAAACCATGAGCCCAAAGCCCTAAAGCCTTAAAGCCTAAGACGTGGCGTGCCAAGCAACGGAGTCTGCAGGGGTCGAAGCCTTCAATCAAAAGCCTCAAAGCACAGCCTAAACCCTAAACCCTAAACTCGAAACTCGAAACCCTAAACCCTAAATCCGAAACCCTAAACTCGAAACCCTAAACCCTAAACCCGTGTACCTGGATCGCAAACCTCAAGCACGCTTGAGCCCGAGCTGGCGGCGTGTGTTCGCCCAGGCTCTTCGTCAACATCGTGGTGACACCGATCCTAATTACCAGCATCTTCACACAGCCTGTTTGGTGCCTTGGCTACGGTCTACAGAAAGCCGTCATCTCTAAACTTCACAATTTGTATAGAATTTGAGCCCCTCAGCCACAAGCCGTAGACCCAGTATTGAATGTTAGCTGGCTCTGAATCCCACTTGCAAGGGTTGATTGCACTCGTTTAAGCCCTGAGACACCCAAGCCCTACCGCCCTAAAGCCTTCAACCCTAGAACCTCAAAACTGAAACTTAGACCCTAAGGTAAAAGCCAGAAAGTTGGAATATGATTATCCTAAGCCCTTTATGGTAAACTATAAGGTATCCTACCCTGAAACCATATTCCAACTTTCTGGAGTTCCCTATAAACCCTAAACGGAAGGAAGGATTGCGGCTAGGCAGAGACACATGCTCTTCTCATTTGGTGGAACCGCCGCAATGTCAGCTCTGCACACACAGTCCTCACAACGGAGTTTATCAGATATCCAAACCAACAGCCTATTGTCCAATTGGTATCTGAGGGTTTAGGGCTTTAGGGCCCCTCAACATGTCCTCAGGCATCACGGCCCTGGAAGCTTACTACGGTCCGCATTGTGGGGTCAGGATTGGAGCTTAGGTTTAGTCTTTGGAGTTTGGGGTTTGGGTACGGTTTGGGGTTTCGGGTTTAGGGGGTGGAGTCTAGGGTTATGGGTTAGGGTGTGCTCTTAATCCCTACTCAAGATCCCAAACCGTAAGACTGCCTTCCAGGAGAAGGTTCCGATGGTTGCGGGCTATTGAAGGCTTCAGGGTCCTTGCTTTTCGACCGTCCCTGGAGCCCTAGTAATCAGTCATGCTATTCTTTGGGGTTCCCAATCATAGCTCTAGTGCAATGTAATCATCCCGAAACCTTCGTCTACTCGTTTGTGGTCCCTATACTAGTCCTAAGCCCTTCTTTCTCAGAGCTCTTCGCTGAAGGACGGCGGGAAGCAGATGCAACCGCAAAGCCCACTAGACTGGAGATCTGCGTCTCTGCAAGACCTGTAGCCTCCTAAGCCTAAAACCCCCAAGCCTAAAAGCATGGAGGCCGTAACACGGGGACAAAAATTGTTTATTAGAATCGCTGCGATAAATCGCAATAGTAAGGAGGAGCCTAACGAATACTAGTGCACTTGACCCAGGCTTCCATGCGTGTTTATGGAAACCCAACAGCCGAGACCAAAAACCAGAGCCCTCAACCCTCAAAGCTAAGCCCTGAAACAAGTGGTGCCTTGCCACGATGTGGCACGGTTGATGATATAAATCCTGCATTGCCCATAATAAGGAATATATCGTGATTCCCATAGTCTAAGGCCATTCAGGGAATGCAGGATTTAGATCATCAGCCGTATATATCCTGCACTACCTTAAGGACCCTAAACCATGGGAATGATGGGTATATTCCTTATTATGGGCAATGCAAGCTTTATATCATCAACCGTGTCATCAACAGTAGCTCACAGGTGCGTGGTCTTCTCGGTGATCCCAATTTTTGGCAACTCGGACACAGGAGCGTCATGCCCTCGAGCACCCCTAAAGTTGTGAGCCCGAAACCCTCAACCCCAGAAGGGTTTGGGGTTTAGGGTTTACGGTTTAGGGTTTAGGAGTTTAGGAGTTTAGGAGTTTAGGAGTTTAGGAGTTTCGGGTTTAGGGTTTAGGGTGTAGGGTTTGGGGTTTAGGAGTTCAGGAGTTTAGGAGTTTAGGGGTTTAGGGTGTAGGGTTTGGGGTTTAGGGTTTGGGAGTTAAATGTGCGGGTATAGATTCCTGGTTCTATGACAGTGGACGACCGACTTGGGGGTTTTCCAGAGGCATGCCGGGAACCCTTTTCCGGGTCCAGTGGTTTTGTGTTAGAGGTACAGGTGTTGGAGGGTTTTGGGGGGTTTGGAGTTTAGAAACCCCAGACCCTAAACCCATACATGAGTTAGAGGTAAAGGTGTCGGAGGGTTTCGGGGGGTTTGGAGTTTAGAACTACTGTATGCCAGTATGTCCTGGAGTCCGGGTGTTTAGAGTTCGAGGTCTTCCAAAAAGCTCCGAGACCCAGCAGCCTTGAAACCCAATCCTGCGTCCTAAGCCCACCTGCTTTGCAGGCAGGCCCAGGGTCGCCTCGGATTCAGCGCACCTTTTAAAGCACCCACCTGTTCGTGTTGAGAGCCGCTGTGGGCAGATGCCCGAGTCCTCGTCTCAACCTAAAGCACAAAACGGACTTTCCAAGCCGAAGCCCTAGACTCTAAACCCTGAGCCCTAAACCTGAAACCTCCGAAGCGCCAACTCCTAAGAACTCAGAGATTTGAAAAAGCATACCGTGCATCCCAACCACGAGCCGCCAAAACCAGAAACCCAACTCCTAGCAGGTAGAGGCCCCAAGCAAAAAAGAGGTTGCCACGCACGAAACCAGCCCAAACCCAAAACCCTAAACCCTAACCCCTGGACCCCTCACCCCCTACTCGCTGAGGCCAAGCTCCCGTGTCTTGCTTCACCCCACAAAAAGGACCTTTAACCCTAAACTCTGAACCCAACATCTTGACACACCCAAGCCCAAACACTCACAGCTTTTTCAACCCCATTGTATGTCGAGCTTTCTGAACTCTGAAAGCCATATATATATATATATATTTTTTTTTTTAAAAAAGTTGAGGTATGTCTTGCTTGAACTTTATCGGTGTGGAGCTCGAGAATCCTTTTGGGCAGGATCCGGGCCTCCGTGGGTGGGATAGGAAGACTCGGTTCGAGGTTTAGGGTTGAGGGGTTCAGGGTTTAGGGTTTAGGGTTTTCGGTTTAGGGTTTAAGGGTTTACATTGAACTGCAAAACTTATTGTTTTTGGAGGGCCCCTGTACATTCTGGATGAGGGTTTGTGCCACGAGCCTGGCCTAGAAAAAGCAGGTTTTGGTAGTTTCATAACCTAAGCCTGGGCTGCTGGGGCAAAAGGGTTACGGCTTGGGCCTCGGGTTCAGGGTTTACAGCTTAGGTTTAGGGTTTACATTCTTTAGGGATTGGGAGCGATTTACGGTGTGGGGCCCAGGACTTAGGGTTTGGGGCCACAGCCCGTAGTAAGCCCTCGAGGCGTTCGGTTTTAGGGTTTAGAGTTTAATGGCAATCCCCCGACGCTCCCCCCTAAACCAACAGATGATATACACTAAACCCCTAAGCCCCTAAGCTCCTAAACTCCTGAAGCCTACACCCCTATTTTCAGGGTTTAGAGTTTAAGGAAATCCCCAGGGTTCCCTCTTATGATTTCTTTGCATAAGTCTTGAAGAAGCTAGGATGATTGGGGGCCAGGTAGAGTCCCTAAACCCTAAACCTTAAGCCCCTAAACTCCTGAACCCTAAACCCTAAACCCCTAAACCCTAAACCCCTAATTTTAGGGTTTAGAGATTAAAGAACCCTAAACCCTAAACCCCTCATTTTAGGGTTTAGAGACTCAAGAACCCTAAACCTTAAACCCTTCATTTTAGGGTTTAGAGACTAAAGAACCCTAAACCCTAAACCCTTCATTTTAGGGTTTAGAGTTTGGAAGAAATCCCCGACCGATGCTCCACGCGAGGATGACAACGACTTGCCTTTGGACCATTTCCAGGGTGAGATGAACAACTGCCAGGGGCCCTGGATGTACTTACCCTTGGTTAGTAGGGAATGGAGGAATGGGGTACAAGTATAACTACTATTACTACCATTCTTCCATTCCCTACAAGCCAAAGGTCAGTGTACTGTTCCCAGAGAGCCCAATAGCCCGTAATTAGGGAATTTACCTCGAGAGAGTTCAATAACCATAAATCAAGGAATATACCTTGAAGCATGGGGGGCTACATATTATGGCTCAAGCCATATTCCTTAGTTAAAGGGGCCCTGGATGTTGTGCTTGCCCCTGCAAAAGTCTGTTCTGATTCTGACGGCCCGAAACTCTTAAACCCTTAAGCACATATAGAAACCCTGCAAAGAGCTCTTGGAGAAAGCCTTATAGAAGCCCTAAAAATGCCAGCTCTTTGAAGAGCTCAAACTTCGAAACCACCCGAAACTCAGATTCCCTAAACCACCCTAAACCCTCAGTGCTCTTGGCTTCCTTGCTTTAGCTTCCCGTCTTTTTCGTATAGATCTTTCCGAAGCTGCAGGGCGTTACCCTGGCTTTCAGTTTATTTAAGGTGTGGATCTGTTTTGGGCTTTAGGGTTTTAGGGCTCCTACCCAGAGACTCCAATATCCCTTAATTAAGGAATATACCTTAAAGTCTAGTAGGATCCCTAATATGATTTAAGGAATACGGCTTAATTAAATAAGGGACATTAGAGTCTCTGGGTACAGGGTTTCTTCTTAGAATTCTCCACTATCACACTATCACTAGAGGAGAATATGCGCCAAAACACTGTTCTCGTCAGAAGAGCCCCTAGTCTAAAACCATGGGCCATCTAGAAAACCCCAGCGAACCCTCCGAAGAGCACCTTGCGGCCCCTATACCCACCTCCCCAAAACAGGCGAAGGAGCCTTAGTCGAACAAGCCGACCCTCAAAAACCCTTCAAAGAAAACCCAAAAGACGCCTTACACAATTTTCATAAGACCCTCTAGAAACCCTTCAAGCATCCCTTTATTCAGGAAATTGTGTTTTAAACTATAGAGATTTTATAGAATGGGAGAAAAGTTACATTCCTGAATTCAGGGGTTGCAGTTCGTGGGAGAACTGGCAGACGAGTATACCCGACTTCCCAGACCCCCGGGAGGATCCAAAAAGTAGATCCCTTGATGGGGGTTCCTAAAAAGTACCATGAGTAGTATATTGTATAGGGCCCCAAATTAGGGGATCTACTTTCTAGATCCTCCCGGGGGTCTGGGTTATGGTGTTAGAACGCACTCAAATCCCTAAGCCCCAAACCACAAACCCTAAGCCCCAAACGCCCCAAACCACAAACCCTAAGCCCCAAACGCTAGAACCCTAAAGCCCTAGAGCCGTAGACCTGAGCCCATCATCCGAAAGCAGTCCGAGGTCTTCTGACACAACTCTGAACAGTGCAACCCATTCCACTAAAACTTAAAACCCTCAACACCAGCGCTCCCAAGCAAAATCCTCCTCCCAAACGCCAACATAGATAAACAAAACAGCCTCCTAAAGCTTAAACTCATACTAAACCCTTTGACTTAGACTCCAAAGACCTACTTCCTACAAGCTTGCGAGGTCTTCTGATGCTCCTCCACAGCTCAGCCGACCTTCTACCCGACGTAGACATCACGCGCTGCCTGACGGACGTGGATGCAGCTTGGCTTCGAGTTTAGGGTTTAGGGTGTAGGGTTTTCGGGGCTTAGGGTTTTGGGTTCAGGCTTTGGGGTATAGGATTCAGGGTTTAGGGCTTGGGGTTTAGGGTTTTGAGTTTAGGCTTTTTGGGGTGTAGGGTGTAGGTCTTGAGTCAATGTGGAAGAGGCTAGGAGGTAGGGTTTCAGGTCTAAGAGTCCAGGATCTTGGCTGTTTCCGTTTGAGTCTCAAGAGCTTATGGGTTTCAGATCTGCACCTTTCAGGTTTGGAAGCGTATTGCGCAAGTGGAGCTAGCATTCCAGCGAATTACTGAAGCCTAAGTACTATAGCCTGTAGGTTTAGGCTTATTCGGGTTCACGGTCCTAGGTACTACGTTTCCTATAGTGTAGGTCTAGGCTTATTCAGGTTCACGGTTTGTGTCGATCCCTGAATCCTGCCACCGACGATGTTTAACGTAGAGTCCTGGCTTGTGACTGAGGAGATTCGAGACGTCATGTCTGGAATGGAGGTGGGCCGCGATCGATAAAAGGAAATTGGGCAGTTCTCTAAAAATGGGTCGCTTTCAAGTCTCCAAAATAGTACGTAATATAGAGACTTGCCCTAGTGGCATCCAGTCTAGGGTTTGGGGCTTGGGTAGTGGCAGCTAAGCCGGTGACAAAGTTTGGTTCTTGTGATTTCTGTCGGAGATTTATGTGAGAGTAAGCAAAGGGTCTCCGAGTAGACTCCACAGCCCAGCTGAACGATGTGTCGCCGAGGAGGGTGTCGAACGGTTCGAAGAGATGCATCGCAATTGTGCAGAGACTTTGTGAAAGGAACTCTAAACCCCATTTGAATCCCCAACAACCCACCTTCTGAAGAACTTGTGTAAGAACCCTTCGATAAACAGCTTATTTGGGGTTCAGGTCGACGGTAAGATCTGAGCTCGAATTTCCAAACCCTAAACCCTCAACCCTAAACCCTAGAATCCGAATCTAGAACTTCTTATTGCGCGCCCTGGAGATCCGCCAGGTTCGGAAGCAGGCTTCCGAACGGCCGGAGATGATCCACGTGCCCTCGTGCCGTGGTTCACTAGTCAATCGGGTTTTCATAGGAGGCCAAAACGGGTTTTAGCCTATGGGGGTTCGGTAGGGATTAGGGTTCCAATAATAGGGTTCACATTTGGGAATCCCTACCCCAAGAATCTTAAACCCCCCTTTGGGCCTCCCATCAGGTTTAGCGGTTAAACCATGGTCAGTTGTGACATAGGGTCCATGACAAGGAGATTTGAATCATTCGCATCAATAAGATTTCCTTGTAGTGATGTTCTCAATATGATTATTCTATAGTATACCCCAGCACCATTCTATAGTGTACCCAAACACCTTATTCTAATCACTAACGCCCCGGCATTTAACCTTATAAATCCTATAGAGCCCTGCAGAAAACCTTGTAGAACCCTGGTACTGTTGCAACCCCGGTTGTTTAGGGCATGTCGAGGTTGGTTGTGCTTCGGTTCATTGCGCTGACTTCAAAAACCATCTGCTGACTTAAAAATCAGATTGGTTTTGCTATTCAGGCTTCTTTGTTGGGGTTCCCTGTTTTCGGTCCTCCCAAATCCCTGAACCCTAACCCCTAAACCATGAAGCCCCAGGCGAGCAGAAAAGGGGCGTCAAAGAAAGCCCCTGAGCCCTAAGCCCTAAACTCTAAACCAGGGTTGTAAGTTTCGCTTCCCACGTGTGGATTCTACCGACCAACAAACAGGCAGGTGGAAAAAGGCGTTTAAAAAATTCTAAGCCTCTTTCGGAGACCCCACCAAGCCCAAGCCGATGTACCTGAGGTCGGCGAAGGCTGGGCGGAAAACCCTCGCCACCTCCTCCACTGTGGAGACTCTTGCCCTTGCTGGGGTTTAGACTTGAGGGGGTCAGGCTTTTCGGGTAAAGGCTTGTAGGGTTTAGGGTTTGATGGTTAGAGCTCAGGTTTTTGAACAAAGAGCTTTAAACCCTAAGCCCAAAACCCTGACCCTTTGTGCAAAGGCGTGTAGGGTTTAGGGCTTGGTGGTTGCAGAGCTGGTATTTGGTTTGGCACTCAGATGACATCATCCAGGCGCTTGTATGATATCGAAGCTTAAATAATTATCCATATTATTCCTCAGGGTTCCATACAAAACTAGACAGTAGAGCAGCCCACACCCCGATTTCATTTAGGGTTTAGGGTTTGGGGGTTTAGGCCCCTACAGCATGGTTCAGCGACGGGGTTGAGAACTTCTGTTGTCTTCCTTCAGAACAAAGTTTGGACAGGGCTTGGGAGTTTAGGAATACTGTGTCCTAATGGTCGAGGGTTGAGGGTCTAGGTTGCGGGATTGAAGGTTTGGGGTTTCGGGTTTGGGTCTTGGGGTGTAGGGATGCTTGTTGTCCATAGACAACAAAGCTCCCCTCGTTCTTCAGGGTGCATTAGGCATCTAGACCGGGTGAGAGGCTGGCTTTACTCAAAGGCATGCTCCAGCTCGCTTCTGATGGCATCTCTTGCCTTACATTTGCCTGACGGAACTTCACATTTGTCCCGCAGCCGGACGGTGCAGGGATACAGCCAATGGTAGTACACATACTTGAGCTTTTCATTCCGAAGGTGTCCCACGTGAGGCAGGATGACCCCACGCCCCTCCACAAACCCTAAGCATCCCTAACGTGTAGACCCAAGTCATCGCGCCAAGGTCGCTCGATTTGATCGCACCGATAGAAGCCTCCACAACGATACAGTCGACGATACAGGCGACGATACAGGACGACGGGACGGCGTGAGTTTGAGGGTTTGGCGTTTGACGGTTCGGGGATTTGGGGCGCCCTGTGGCCTAGTTTTCCCATGAAAGCGGAGTACTGTTTGCCCAAGACCCTGTTCTAACTATTGAGGCATCTTTTTTCAAAGGCTGCTATATTAAACCCTTAACCGATGAAACCCTGTTCACAAACACACCAGGACCTTCACCCAAAACCCTGGGACCCAAAACCCCATCTCCCCTACACTAAACCGTGATTGTCTTGTATACACCCTTTCAGAAAAAAAGCATCCGACCCAGGCGGTACATGGGGGGTTTCCGAAAATGCGGGACCCTGATATAGTACCCTAAATAGTAGGATCCTCATAATAAGGGCCCCAAAATAAGGTACCCCTCATTTTCGGAAACTCCTTCCTCTCAACCCTCTCAGACTCGAGAAGCCCGCCAACAACCCCCAAACCCATGCACTTCGATACGCCAGTCCCCACACCGTACTTAGAGGATCATGGGACTTAGTCCTATAGGGTTATATTTAAGGTAGCTATGTACTTATACTTACATAGAACTCCAAGTAAGGTACTTATCATCTTAATATGTTAAGTCCCATGATCCTGCAAGTAAGGTCGACTTGCGACCTGAATGCTTGACTCCCTGAGCCTCATATTCGAAGCCGCGATAGTACTCCTGCTTACCCCACAGCCTTCAATTTTAGGGTTCGGGTTTAGGGTTTAGGGTTTCGCCCCAAACCTTACACTGCAAAGTCTACGCGCTGAACCTCTAAAGCCCCCTCAAAAAGCGACAAAACAGAGTAAGTCCCAAAAGCCGTAACTAAAGAGCAAGCACCAAACGTACGTAAAAAAAAGCGACCGATCCCCCCAAACCAAGTCATCGAGCTTTGCTGTATCATGGATAGTATTGCTCAGATCTACTTTGTAAGCAAAGTAGGACATGCGCCAAGACCGTATGCTAGTTTTTGAGGCCTCTGTACTAAACCCTTCTAGACCCCATAAGACCATATACAAAGCTTTCAACAGCACCCTAAACCCTATACCCTTAAACACCGAAATCCTTCAACCCTAAACCCTTAATCCGAAGCCCTGAGACCTAAACCCCTAAACCCTAAAACCCTACACGCCTAAACCCTGAAACCCTACACCCCTGAAGCCTGAAACCCTAAACCACTGAACCCTGAAACCCTACACCCCTGAACCCTGAAACCCTAAAACCCTAAACCCTGAAACCCTAAACCACTGAACCCTGAAACCCCTACACCCCTGAACCCTGAAACCCTAAAACCCTAAACCCTGAAACCCTAAACCCCTGAACCCTGAAACCCCTACACCCCTGAACCCTGAAACCCTAAACCCCTGAACCCTAAGACCCTAAACCCCTGAACCCTAAGACCCTAAACCCCTGAACCCTGAAACCCCTACACCCCTGAACCCTAAGACCCTAAACCCCTGAACCCTGAAACCCCTACACCCCTGAACCCTGAAACCCTAAACCCCTGAACCCTAAGACCCTAAACCCCTGAACCCTAAGACCCTAAACCCCTTCCCCTGAACCCTGAAACCCCTACACCCCTGAACCCTAAGACCCTAAACCCCTGAACCCTGAAACCCCTACACCCCTGAACCCTGAAACCCTAAACCCCTGAACCCTAAGACCCTAAACCCCTGAACCCTAAGACCCTAAACCCCTTCCCCTGAACCCTGAAACCCCTACACCCCTGAACCCTAAGACCCTAAACCCCTGAACCCTGAAACCCTAAACCCTGAACCCCTAAGACCCTAAACCCTTGAACCCTGAAGCCCTAAACCCTAAACTCCTAAACTCCTAAACCCCAAACTCAAAAGCTTAAGCCTGAATGCTCAGCTTAAGCCTTATTACGCACAGGAGCGTACTACACCTTGTTCGGGAAGGAAACGAAAGACATTCTAGTCTTTACGATGTAAATGGTAATTATAGACATAATTACTTCCATTTACCAGTAAGCTCATAACTGATTGCAAGTATTCCGTGATATATAGAAATATACAATCCCTAAACCGGTGTTTCTAACCATCGGATCCCTCGAGTGCTCGTGTGTGCCCAAGCTGGTCGGGGCCACATTCTGCAGCAAAACAGGGCCGTTCTTTTCGTGTGCCTGCTCTCCACGATCCGGTGTCCAGGTGTGCCCAAGGCAGTCAAGCCCACATTCTGCAGCAAAACAGGGCCGTTCTTTTCATGTGGCTGCTCTTAGCCACCTACCTCATCCCTAAACCGGTTTTCTAAATTTAAGTCGCGCTTGTCCTTTTCGGAAAAGGACAGCCAGCTCTTAAATTCAGATTTTCTACATTTAGTCGCGCTTGTCCTTTTCGGAAAAGGACAACCAGCTCTAAATTTAAGATTTTCCACATTCTGCTTCCAGAATTCTGGAAAATTGCTGGTGATTTTCAAGTGATAAATTCTATTCATAAAATGTGCCTTTTAGACTACGCCGGCTGCGAATCTCGAGGTGCCCCCCTTTCTTGTCGTGTGCCTGCTCTTAGCCGCCTTCCCCATCCCTAAACTCCGTCCCTCGGAGCTCGGATCAAAAAATGGACCCGCGAGTGCTCGTGTGTGCCCAAGCAGGTCGGGGCCACATTCTGCAGCAAAACAAGGCCGTTCTTTTCGTGTGCCGGCTCTAAAATCTAGATTTTCTACATTTAGTCGCGCTTGTCCTTTTCGGAAAAGGACAACCAGCTCTAAAATCCTAGATTTTCTACATTTAGTCGCGCTTGTCCTTTTCGGAAAAGGACAACCAGCTCTAAATTTTAGATTTTCCACATTCTGCCTCCAGAATTCTGGAAAATTGCTGGTGATTTTCAAGTGACAAATTCTGTTCATAAAATGTGCCTTTTAGACTACGCCGGCTGCGAATCTCGAGGTGCCGCCCTTTCTTTTCGTGTGGCTGCTCTTAGCCGCCTTCCCAATCCCTAAACTCCGTCCCTCGGAGCTCGGATCAGAAAATGGACCCTCGAGTGCTCGTGTGTGCCCAAGCAGGTCGGGGCCACATTCTGCAGCAAAACAGGGCCGTTCTTTTCGTGTGGCTGCTCTTAGCCGCCTTCCCCATCCCTAAACTTCGTCCTTCGGAGCTCGGATCAGAAAATGGACCCTCGAGTGCTCGTGTGTGCCCAAGCAGGTCGGGGCCACATTCTGCAGCAAAAGAGGGCCGTTCTTTTCGTGTGGCTGCTCTTAGCCGCCTTCCCAATCCCTAAACTTCGTCCCTCGGAGCTCGGATCAGAAAATGGACCCTCGAGTGCTCGTGTGTGCCCAAGCAGGTCGGGGCCACATCCTGCAGCAAAACAGGGCCATTCTTTTCGTGTGGCTGCTCTAAACCATCCGGTGCCTATGGGTGCCCAAAGCGGCCGAAGCCACATTCTGCAGCAAAACACTGCCTTTCTTTTCGTGTGGCTGCTTTAAACTTTGCCTTGACCTTCGGCGATTGGAAAACTGGTGCTGATTTTGGTGTACCAAATTCTGGTCATAAAATGTGCCTCTTAATGCAGGGCAGGTGCGAATCTCGAGGTCTCCTCCTTTCTTTTCGTGTGGGTGCTCTTAGAGTTGTCATCGCCGCCGTAACGGTGGAAAGACTGTCCGCCTCCCTGTAGCTGCATGGGTATTTCCTTCGTGTTGGACGCTTAAGGACTTAAGCTAAGGACAAATGCTCCGGGTGGGTTGTGGTGGGATCTATATCGATGTCCACGGACGTGACGAACTCTCTTACGCAAAAAATTTCCTACCTACATTCTTTTTACCGCAACAGTTTGGTCGACACACCCTAAACCCTAAACCCTAAACCCTGAAACCCTAAACCCTTGAACCCCTGAACCCTTGTTAGGAGTCGGCTCTTTTGAATGCTTTGCCGCCCCCCGGCACTGAACTCAAGGCTTCCTCGGGGCTCTTTTGGGTTTGAGCAGGGCTTCGGGTTGTTGGGGCTTTAGGGCTTTAGGGGTTTAGGGGTTTAGGGGTTTAGGGTTTCAGGGGTTTAGGTGTTTAGGGTGTAGGGTTTCAGTTTTTGGGTTTAGGTTTTTTTTGGGTTGTTGGGGCATATAGGGTTTACCTGTTAGGCCTTCTTTGGTTTAGGGTTGAGGGTTTAGGTGTTCTTGGGTTAAGGGTTTGGGGTAGGTGTCCTTGGGTTTGGGGTGCAGGGTTTAGGGTTGAGGGCTTTTGCAGGCTTTGGTTGTTGGGGCTTAAAAGTAGGGGCCTGAGTGATAAATCATGTTGTTGCTTAGAGGCTCCCAGTCTGCTTATGGCATAGTATACGCCGAAGCCACATGCCAATGATCAAGAATATTCCCGAACCCAAAATCCCAAGGACTGAATCAACCCCAACACCCTGAATCCTGAATCCGACATGTAGCCGAGATGTTCAGGGTTCCGAAACAAGTACTCCCTGAAGCAAAGCAGGCTTACATATCAGGCGCTCACCCCTGAACCCCTGAACTCCTTAAACCCCCGAAAGCCCTCAACCTCGACCCCCCCCTAAACCCTACCTACACTTCTAAACCCTAGAAAGCTATGAAAACCCCAAACCCTACAAGCCACAGAACCGTCTGCCTAAAAGTTCACTCCTAAACCCCAGATGCCAAGGAGTCGCAATTCCTAAACTACTCAACCCCGATGTAAACCCCAAAAAGCCAAGGAAACCTGATAAGAACAAGTTCGCCGATGCAGGTGCGAGCGCCGTCCCAAGACGAACGGCCTTTCGAGAAGAGTGAGGAGAAGCCCAAGGGTGGCACGCCTGAGGTTTAGGGGTTCAGGGTTTCGGGGTGTAGATTTTGGGGATTTTGGGCTCAGGGGTCAAAGGATGTAGCTGGGCTTTCGCTGAGTAAGTAGTTTTCTATAGACGTATAAGAGTATCATGGCCCCAATTAGGATCCCTTTTCGGTTACTTATAGGTCTACTTACTACCTGCTTACTAAGACCCCCGACCCCCCAAGTTGGGGTTTAGGGTTTGGGGATTCAGGGTTTAGGGTCTAGGGGCTTAGGTTTTCAGAAAGGTACGCTGTGGGGGCCCAGTTTTTCCACACACAAGGCTTTGCGATGGTTTGTGGATTCTCGCTTACAGCTTCCGTATTGGAGCTTCTTCAACAATAAACACTTTAACATGTTCACGCAAATTGGGTAATCATATATCTCTTCGTAAGGCATAGCACAATATAAAACAGTATTGGATTTGCAAAGGATGCGGGATTTGAGAATCGGTGCCAGTGCCTGCCTTAAGGCGGAAAGCCTCCAGTCAGCCCCAAGCGGCTAGGGGGTCTGACCCCGGGGGGGGGGGCAAAAAAAAAAGAAAAAAAAAAAAAAAAACTTAATGGCATGCCCTTTCCTAGTTTTTTTTTTTTTTTTTTTTTTTGTTTTTTTTTGTGCCCCCCCCCCTTCCTTGCCCAGGGGTCTCCCCAGGCTTCCAGGGAGGCATGGGGCCTACAGGCCTCGGAGGCCCTTGGCCTCAAAATTTAGTTCCGGTTGCGTGCACGAGGAAGGACGTTTAGATTTCCGAGCAGCTTGCTAACTTGGATTCAAACTCATCTATGTTCTAAATATGATATAGGCAAGGGGATACAGCTTCATTAGAAAATCGTAGAAACTTGACAGCTCAAACTTCACCCAGCATTTTCTTTGTCAAGTCAGCTCGGAAGCGGCAACCATATTTGTTTTCATCGAAATATCACATTCGCACTACTTCGCTTCCCGAATGCATCACTACTACCTATACGACATTGGCAAGATCGCAATCCGGCATTGTCACCGTGTCACCGAGCATGGCAAGTTCAAACGGCATAGTTGACGGATGCAAAAACCGGATATAGTCATGCAATGATGTTCTCACTCACGTCTCCAATGGTAAGGCACAAACCTAAACCTTCCACTATAGCAGATGCGAAACAACCGACCCAAATCTGTTGTATGTGCAAGATTTCTACCTGAGCGGCAGCATGTCCGTTCCAACATCGATGCCGAAGGCTTCCATAAGTTATCCATATTAAACATGCGGTCAGACAGACATAATAAAAGGAACAAATCTGGTAATGCTGCCCTGAAGTTATGTGTGCATATACAAGGAGGCCACGAGAAACATGGAACCAGGGTTAGGGAATATATGTATTACTTTATAAGGTGTCGATGCTGCGGCATACATCCGTCCATGTGTGCTATATAGGGCGACAGGACTTACACAGCATGTTGGCAGGTAGCAAACTCGCACTCCGTCTGTCTTATGAGAGGTGTGGTCATGGTTGGCCCCCAAATTCACACTTACGGCTGCTCGTATGGTCATAGTCACTCAGTCATATAATGACGAAAATGAAAGCACAGTACGTTTGGTAACATATCTGAAAATGACGGTTTGCCACGGAAAAGGAACACATGAAAAGAAAGAGGTTTGAATATAGTTCCGGACCACAGTCTCTTATCACCTTTCCAAACCTCACCCTATAAGTCGAATACATGTAAATAGCGATACCAAAGTTGCTTCAGAAGCCCTCCGAGTCGGCAAAGTTAAACCCTCGGACTTTGAAGGATACCATCGTGAACATATTTGGTTTCCAAGCATGTGCTGTGGCCTTGCAAGGCCATCTAACAAATATTACCCTGGATGTCTTTACGAAGCAGTCTTTCTTTTCATTATTCGAGCTGAAGGGGGACCCCATCCAAGACAATGGGCATGCAGATCTGGATGCATTACACTACGCACTTTTGCGGAGCAGCCAGTAGGAGTTCAAGCTCAATGGAGTTTCAAAACCCAAAACATCCTAATGTCAGAGAGTGTACATATCGGACGGCGGGGGCTTGTGCAGTATATCATCCGAACGAATGGGCATGGAAAAGATGTCGTATCTAGGATCTGCTACACCTGTGTGAATAGGCAAAAGATAACGAATGGGACATGCCCATAGACGAAGCTATGTGTCAGGAGACTACCTGCAATAGTCCTAGATATCCGGCGTTTCAATTAGTGTGGGGCTCGTCGGAATAAATCTCTATGAGAAAGACAAATCTTCGGGATTGTTCATAATTGTATGCGATTGACAATAGGACCATTCTAATCCATACTCTGGTTTAATGAGTGACATGACACAGGGGCTTTCTGAACAAAACGACAAGACATGGAGACGCTCGTGCTTTGTTCTTCATAAAACCAGGAGTCGGAAGATACCATCATCCCCTGATATTATAGTATGTCTCGAAGCCACCAGGTGTCATGTAGACGCTATGCAGATACGCGTACGGTAATGCAATTTGTATGATAGGCTTGCACCCCCAGAACATTCAGGCTCGAAGTTAAGATGGTGAGTTGGTCCCGAACAGCAACATTTTAAAACTGGAAGCTTGGTTCGCCCAGACTGTAGGATTGATATGCATAAGAGTTACATACAGTTAGTTAGCAAGTTCCAGAAACGGCGCCATTTCAACTTATATCGTCAAATGACATACGGTACATACACATCTAAAACAGTTTAAATTGCATACGGTACACACACATGTAAAAGACATGCAACAAGTTGCCTTGGAGTTGAGTGCATTTGCACGTGTTTCACTACTCTTTTTTTCCGAGTGATTTTTTGCCTAGGTAAGGTGTTGCGACATGTGGTGATTGTCGCTCGAAGTTCGATTTAAAATTTCCTTTTATTCCAGAAATGGTTTAACATGTGTACGATGGTATAAGCAACTGGCAATCATATCGCCGTCTTATGAATGTTACGTCACTGTTTCATTCCAAAGGGGATTTTCGATGTAAAACATACGAAACCCCTCGTAAATATGGGGCCCCGAGGGCGTTCCACCCTCTAGGTTTTAGGGTTTCGGGGTTTAATAAATTAAGGATTTAGGGTTTAGGGTTTCGAGGTTTAAGGGTTTAAGGATTTCGGGGTTTAAGGGTTTGGGATCTGGAGTGTAGGGTGTAGGAGGTGGAAATTTTCAGAGATAGCATCCCGATGAAGTGCCAAAGCCTTTGTAGAACAGAACACTTAATTTCTTGAGCCTTGTAAACTCTAGCGGCCCGAACAAACTAGGTGAAGCGCTACGAAACCAAGCACAAAACGCATTCTAAATCTTATAAGCCTTGAACCCCAAACCCCAAACCCTAAACCCTAAACCCCAAACCCTAAACCCTAGGCCCAAAGCCCCAAGCCCCCAAACCCTAAGCTACAATGCAAAAGCCCGAAGCACCAAGGCGAAGACAAGCTGAAGACGGAAGAGCAGCTGCAGACCGAAGCGATGCTCCGGGGGATGGAGAGGCCTGCCGGTTTTGTTTTTGAAGGGTTTAGCGTTCTAGCAAAATTAGGGCTGTAGGGTTTTAGGGCTTAGGGTTTTAAGGAAAAGAGGGTTTTAGGGTTTTAGGGTTTTAGGATTTTTGGGATTTAGGGTTTTGCAACCTCCCGGGCGTAGCCGGGAGTTTGGGCTGTTGAGGGCTCCGGGTCATGAACGTTGGGCTTGGATGGCCAGTGTTCCGTAAGCCCTAGTCGGAAGGGCAGGGGACTTAGTAAGTTGGTGATAAGTAGGGTTATAATTAGGGTAACTCCATTTAGGGTACTTATAACTCTACTTATAACCTACTTACTAAGCTCCCTGCCCTTCCAAGTAGAAATCCCAAGGCTCCTGTCCCTACTGTTGATGGACAGAATCCTGCATTACCCATTATAAGGAATATACCATGGTTCCCATAGTTTAGAGTCCGTAGGGTCATGCAGGATTTTGTCCATCAGCAGTAGTAGTAGAGTAGGTAAGCTTTAACCTTTCTTGGGTAGTTTAGTCCCTATATAATCCAAAAAAAGGTTGACCTTTCGTTCCCCATGATACCCGACGAGGAGGTATCTTGGCCCTAAGCCCTAAACACTAAACCTTAAACCCTGAACCCTAAACCCCAAACCCTAAACCCTAAACCCCTGAAGCCCTGAACTCTAAACCCCAAACCCTAAACCCCAAACCCCAAACCCCTAAACCCCTGAAAGCCCTAAACCCTAAAGCCTGAACCCGCAAACCCTAAACAGGATGGTTGCCAACCTGCAGAGCATCAAGTCGGCGGTCGAGGAGCAAGCGAAGAAGGCGAGGGTTGAAGGAGTCTAGGGCTGTGAGGGTTCGGGGTTCGAGTCTTAAGGTTTTTTAGGGGTTTAGGGGTGTAGGATTTCAGGGTTCAGGGGTGTAGGGTTTCAGGGTTCAGGGGTTTAGGGTTCGAGTCTTAGAGTTTTAGGGGTTTAGGAGCTTAGTGAGGGTTTAGGATTCGAGTCTTAGGTTTTTAGGGGTTTTGGAGCTTAGGGTGGCAGCGTGTCGACTCAAGTTTTAGGATATGGATTTAGTTTGTGTCCAGCCTGCCTCAGAACTACTGTATATATGAACACAGTGATTGGAAGGATAAAGGATTCAGGGTTTGAGGTTGACGGATTCAGGTTTGAGGTCTTTGGGCAGGGTGAGTCTGAGGTGTAATTTAGAAGCCGAGATAAGTCATTTCGGGATACCTTATCATTTTTTGTATATATAGACATGACACCCAAAGATTTATTCGGATCATTAAGGCCCAGTGTATTCAGCCAGTGGTGCGACAGCCTCGGCGAGGTTCAAAGCCTCGGATCTCAATTGCTTCGCCAAAATCAAGGGTCCCGATTCGATCGAAAACCACTGAAGTCTTCAAGAGCCCCGGAGCTTGAACTTGTATGTATATGTATATATGTACATACATATGTAGATGTATGTATATATATATATACACACAAAAATGTGCATATGCATTTTCATAATTATGTATACTGAAGATAGATAGTTATACATGTATTTATATGTATATATACGTATACACACATATATATATATATATATATATGTGTACGTATATAGACAAGAAGAGACACCCTCACACACCCATGACCCTGGGCCCGGAAGCCCAAGTTAGACTACTGTACATCGAGATGCCATAGCACTTAAGAGCACCCAGAGAGCCCAATACCCTTTAATTAAGGAATATAGCTTAAATCATAATATGAAGCCCCTTATACTTTAAGGTAGATTGCTTTAATTAAGGGGTCTTGGGCTCTCTGGGCAAGTAGTGATAGCACGACCGCTAGTAGTGCGACTGGCCTCCGTGAACCTGACATCCAACCCCCGCCCCGGTAGGCTTCCAACACAATCGGTCCAGTATGATATAGTAGAGTCGAGTATTCTGTTCTGTATATACTATTCATGTATAACATCATACTCTGCAGTATAATGGTTGAACATGGGAGTTTCCGTAAATCAGGGCTACTTTACATTGGGGTCCTTATAATAAGGATCCTACTAAATGGGGTACTATTTTATGGTCCCCTTCGGAAACTCCCATAGTATATATGGTCACGCTTCATGTCCCCCGTGGTCATAGTAGGGATCCTATTATAGTTTAAGGTAAATTCCTTAATTAAGGGGTATAGGGATCTCTGATTATTCTACATACATCCTTCATGCCCCGTGGTACACCCGAAACCCTAAGCCCTAAACCCTGAACCCTAAACCCTAAACCCTAAAACCCTAAAGCCCTAAAACCCCAAACCCTAAAACCCTAAGCCCTAAGCCCTAAACCCTAAATCCCTAAATCCTCCTAACACCCCACATCCTTCCTTTCCCATGGTCCAGGTCAGCGAAAGCACCAAGGCGATGACGGAGTTCTGCGTTCATCTTGCAGCTGGGCTAAGGGTTCTGGGGTTCTTCGGGCTTAGGGCTTTTGGTATAAATCCTAGGGCTCCTTTAAAGGGATCTATAAGGGGCTCCTTTAAAGGGATCTGTAGGGGTTCAGGGTTTAGGGCTCTTCGGGCTTCGGCTCTTGGTTGCAGGGTTTAAGGTAGTTTAGGGTGTTAGGAGGATTTAGAGTTTTAGGGTTTAGGGTTTAGGGATTTAGGGATTTAGGGTTTAGGGATTTAGGGTTTAGGGTTTTAGGGATTTAGGGTTTAGGGTTTAGGGATTTAGGGATTTAGGGTTTAGGGTTTAGGGCTTGGGGTTTAGGGTTTAGGGTTTAGGGCTTGGGGCTTTGTTTCTAGTTCTAGGGTTTACAGTTTTGGGTTTAGGCTTTCGGGTTTGGGGTTACATCTTGGGCGGAAGCTGCTGTCGATTCGCGGGCCTAGGGACATAGACCCTCAGTGCTTGCATTTCAAAGCTCTAACAAGACGCTAGAAACCCCCCCAAAGACCCCAGACTCTAAAGCCCCACAGCTCTATCCCTTAACCGCTGAAACCTCAAAGCCAGACACCCTGAAGTTAGGGACCCAAAAAGCACATAAGCATAAGCATTTGATAGGGATATCCCTACCCTTTTTGGGCTTCTTTATAAGGGGGGTTTATATGGGATATCCCTATCCTACCTTTTTGCTTATGTGCCTTTTTGGGGGGCCCTATGAAGCTCCGAGGGCCCGTAAAGGCCCACCCAAAGCTCCGGTTCACCCTTTATCTTGTAGTAGTAGTACTAATAGTAGTACTAGTAGTAGTAGTAGCAGTAGTAGTAGTAGTAGCAGTAGTAGTAGTAGTAGTAGTAGTAGTAGCACCCTAAACTCCAAGCCCTAAACTGCAAAACCCTAAACCCTAAAGAAACCCCGAAAGCCTAAACCCTAAACCCCTAAACCAGAGAAACCCCCCCCCAAAACCCAAGCAGTGTCTGGCAAGGACAGCGTGCTCCTCAGCGGCAAAAAAGCCGGGCTCGGAGGTGAACGCGTGCCGCGGCTGCAAGAGGAGACCAATACGCCTTCATAAAGGATTCAGGGTGTAGCGCCCTAAACCCTAAACCCTAAACCCTAAACCCTAAACCATTTAGTTTAGGAGTAACCCTGAGCCCTAAGCTTTAAACCCTGAACCCAAGCCTTGAATTCTGAAACCGGAAGCTGACAAAGCACCTCTTCAACAAGTGCACCCTACAACCTGACCTAATAATCTTGAGCCCTAGACCCGAATATGCCCAAGTCAGACAGGACTTAAGGCTGGTTGGGGTTTTTCGAACGACAAATCCCACACTCCTAGACCCTATATATATATATATATATATAACCCTAAACACTAAGCCCCAAACCCTGAATGCGAAAGGTCACCCGGTCGGGGCCCGTTCCCGTGCGCCGGCGGGGCGGCTCCTGGGAATGTTCGCTGATGAAGTGCATGTGAGGCAGGTTAGGGTCCAGGGCTTAGGTTTTCGGGTTTGGGGTTAAGGGGTTAGGGTTTATGACAGTTTGGGCTTACCTTCGGGGTTCTTGAAGGGTTGATTCACGGTTCCTCCGGGTTCTTGTTGGGGTTTTAAGGTTTAGGGCTTCGAGGTTCGAGGCTTTAGGGCTTCGGGGTTAGGAGGAGGGCTTCAGGGCTTAGGGCGAGGGTTTGGGGTTGAGGGTGTAGGGTTTAGGGTTTGGCTTTCCTGGCCCTGTGGAGAACCACTCTATTTTCCGTTTTTAGGGGTGTAAGGTAGGCATGTGGATCAGCTTTTAGCTCGTCTGAATGGCTTAGGGGTTTGGGGGCTCAGGGTTTGACCAGGGAAGCAGAGGCTGTGGGCACTGCTTGGGGTGTTAAAGTTGGCTGTAGGGCTTAACTCCACATTTTGTTGAGGATTTGGTGCTTGGGGGCAGGGTTTTGGGGTTCAGGGTTTAGGGTTTAGGGTTTAGGGTTTAGGGTTTAGGGTTAGAGTCCCGGGTCCCTGTTAGGCTTGCAGGTTGAAATTTCGAGGCCTGTGAGGTATTGGGTGCCACTTGCTTGTAGGGCTCCGCAATCCGTAGGACTAGATGAACTTGAGGTTTCAACTGCCGCACAACCCTAAGACTTAGTAACTAGGGTTGCAAATCAATACAGTTATTATAGTCATTAAAAACTCCAACTAAGGTATTGTTAATAACACTATATACTTACTTACTAGCTCCCATGATCCTCCAAGCAAGCTCCAATTCGGGAGCGGGCCTCCGATTCCAGGCGACCAGTGTGAGCCGAGACGCGCTGCATTAATGATACCTCAGCTCGGCGCCCCTGTCTGATCCGTGTGGTGGGCGTGTCGGGGGTTGTTTGGTGTACTGCGATTCATGCTTAGTAACCTCTGTGGAGGTTTGTTTTTCAGGGTCCTGTAGCTACTCATATAATAGAACCGAGCCCCACTCTTATAGAAGCCTTGTAATTACTTCTAGAACCCCACTCTTATAGAAGCCTTGTAAGGGCCCTTGTAGCACCCACAAGTTGAAGCATCGGGACCGCAGAGCCCAAGGGCCAGACGGCGACCCCAAAGCCCTTAACCCCCAATCCTCACCACCAAGTCCTCAATCCCTAAACCCTAAACCCATAATTCTCAACCCTAAACCCTTAATCCTCAACCCTAAACCCTTAACCCTAAACCCTTAAGGGCTTGCGGGCTTTGGAATTCAGGGGTTCAGAGCTTGTCTGGAGAGGTTGTGGGTGTTGCGGGGTGAAGTATGGAAGCCACATTCAGTCTGACTGCTATCCTAAAACCCCAAGCCCTAAACCCTAAACCCCAAAAGAGCCCTAAAACCTTCAGCCGAAACCCTTGAGGCCCTAAACTCCCGATGGACCAGATTCTGCGGAGAACGTCCCCCCCCCCACACACACACACACACACTTTACCAAGAGCAACTCCCGACCCCTTAATTAAGGATTATAGCTTAAACCACAACATGAAGCCCTTGAAAATTTAAGGCCTATTCCTTAGTTCAGGGCCGTTGAGCTCTCTGGGAGAACAGAATGGGGCAACAGGCGCCGGAGCTTGCAATGTAGGGGCCTTCATAATTCGAATAGGGTTTGGGGCTGTGTTGTACTGTTACTCCATGAAAAATATTATGGCCCTTATACTACATCGTCATAATAGCCCTCATAGTAGCCCTTATAGACCCCTTTAAAGGAAGCCTGTTCTAATCATTCAGGCCCCTACAGTATTCTCGCAGCAAGCAGCAGGCAGACAGTGGCCCTCAGCTCCTCTAAGCCGGATTCGTCGCTGCGGATAGGGCTAGGTTGGATGTTGGCACGTTTTTTAATTTCCTTGTCTGGGTTTATAAGGGACCCTCTATAAAAAAATAATATATGTATATATATATATATATATGTATATATATATATGTATATATATATATATATATATATATATATATATGTATATATATATATATATGTATATATATATATATATATATATATTGTGTTTTCAGGGTGTTTAACGGCCAACCCAGTAGGGCTGAAATATCAGGTCTTGGGATTGGGGTGGTTGGGTTTTAGGGTTTGGGATTGAGATCTTTAGTGCTGATGGGAGCCATGTTAAGATGAGAAAGATACTGCTTTCAGTATGGTTCTAAGGGGGCTTAAGTTGGATTTGGGATTGGGGCACTGGGGCTGTGTGGTGTGTTATGGTCTACGGTAGGACATCATCGTTTGGATGAGCAGATGCGTCGCCTGCTGATGTTCGGACCTTTGAGGGATAATAAGCGTGTGTTTTGGAAGTTTGCATTCTACGACTAAAGTTGCCATAATACAGAAACCATATTATTGCTGTAGATCCCTTTTACGGTAACTTAAACTAAAGTGACTAGCAAGAACCCAGACGAGTCCGGCTTTGTGGAGGGCAGACCTGCGTCTGTCTGGAGACTGCCATACTGACGTTTCCCATGTTTCGAGCAAAGGGCTCAAAGTTCACAGAGGCGGCAGACGCTGCTTCTGACTGCAGTTACCGTGGGTGTTCAGGAATATAACCGAGCTTCGGAGTGTGTTCTAGCACAATCTAGCATTACTATGCAGGGGCTATAACGCGAGTTTGTTGTTTTTGTTCAGACCTCTACATGAGAACCTGCGCTTCAAACACGAATTCCTTGGTGCATTCTCCTCTTCGACCATGTATCTCTCGAAGCCACAGCACAAAGCTCAATAATTGCAAGAGCAGAAACCAGAAACCCTAGACACAGACAAGGAAACCTACACCAAACTTTAAACCCGAAGCCGTAAAGCCTAAACCTTGAACCCCAAACCTTAAAATTTGAATCATAAGCCTTACAGATATCCGTGTCCAGAGCCCCTGGACAACGTAGTCGAGGCTTTGGCAGAAAACAACGAGGCTATAGGGTTCAGCCTTGTTAAGGGTTTAGGGTTTTGGGTTTAAGGTTCATGGACTTGGGGTTGATAAACACCCTTTCGATAGAGCCCTATAGTCCCCATCCAAAGGCAGGGGTGTTTGCTAATCAAAGGGTCATGCGATGAGCGCTTTCAGAGTTTCCCTTTTGTTCATCTTAGTCACCAGTAGTAGTTGCATCTAAGACCGGCACCGAAGTTTCTCTGACATTGTCTTTGTGATGGACTGCATGTAAGAGCAGCTGCTGCTGAGGCTCGGAAACCCTCCCCTGTATTTGCTTGTCCTTGCCGCGTCTTCCGCAGGGAGATTCCGTTGGCCTCAAGACAACTTCATGCACCTTTCCGGCCCCCATTTTGTCGTGGCCTAAAGCTTAAATCCTAACATCTTCAGCACCTGCAAGCCCTGAACATCTAGGAATTGGGGTTCAGGTTCGTTCAGTTAGAGGATCATGGGACTTAGTAAGTAGGTTACAGTTAGGGTTATAAGTCCACTAAGTGGGGTTATCCTAATGATAGCCTGCTTATATCCTTACTTACTAAGTCCCATGATCCTCTAAGTAACCATGAGCCATACGCCCTGAACTTTCTATCCGGCACCGAAGAAGGACCACTGAGGATTGATGAGACCTAAAACAGACCAAAATATGGGTAGTTGTCAAAATTAAGGTCCCTTATTGGGTACCCTAAATACGAGGTGCCGTATTTATGAAGGACCCAAAAAGGGACCATAATTTTGACAACCACCCATATGATATCGTCAAGCACTAGATCGTACACTACAATGGAGTGCGGCACAAGGTCGTATAAGCCAGCACAGCCCAATCTAGCCTAGTTTGCTATGGTACGTTAATGTACCATAGCAATAACTAGCCGTGATAACAACAAAAAAAGCAGTAGTCGTCGTCGTGGTCGTCGTAGTAGTAGTAGCAGCAGTGGTAGAAGTCGCAGAAGAAGTAGGAGTAGGACGTAGGACGCAGGACGTAGGAGTAGGAGGGTTCTAGCCCCAAACCCTAAACCCTAAATTCTAGTAACAATGATAAGAAGAAGGATATGCTGACGGAGCTCCTGCAATGTTTAATTCCAGGCTCGCCTCTCCCGGCTACTACCAGAGCAGCCGGCATCCGCTGAATTGAGCGGAAATTCATACTCAAAGACCACCTGCCCCCGCCCACATACGGCAGTTTCTTTAAGGATTTAAGGAGCTGCATAAGGAAATCACATTCGCTGAATATCATAGTTGCTTTGCAGCCCAACCTTTCAACCCTCATCCGGATCCGAGAGATGTGCTGCACAACCGTAGTTGTCCTCGGCTGGCTTCTTGCCAAAGGCAAAGAAGGCTCTTTCCCGACATCGCCAGAAGGCCAAGGTGCGTAAAAGGCAAAGAGTTTTCTCTGTGGGGTTGGCCTCATTGTTTTGGGCTTTCTTCCCAGAGACTCCAAAATCCTGTACTTGCGGAAGATACCTTAAATCTTATTTGTTTTCAGCACCCCTCAATTACGGAAGATGCTTTAAGTCTCATTCCTTTCCTAGTAGAATTAAAGATGAACCCTCGATTTTAGGGTTTTTTGGAGTCTGCGGGTTGCCTCGGTCTCGGAGGCAGGTTCCAGGAAGGTTCTCATGGGAGTGTCGGGTCCGTGGGTTATGGTGGGGAAGGTGCCAGTCGTCCTAGGCCCCCTGCAAAAATTGGGGGTTTTGGGTTTAAAGTTTAGGGTTTAGGGGTTTAGGGTGTGGGGGGCGAGGGTTTGGGGAATCCCGAAGGCTGCATTCGTTCCGGGCTCAAGCCTTCTGCTCCGGCAAGTCCCAATCACCCTGAACTCTAATTAGCCACGACAGAATTGATGCTCGAAGCCCAGTAGAGCCTTCAATGATCCCGAGCCCGAACCCAAGGAATCATCACAGCAGCCGTTCTCATCTGGTCTTCACACTGAATGCCCCGGGCTTAGTGCGGGAGGGAGAGAGAGACACAGAGACGGAGTGCAGGGAAGAGCAAACTTTCGCGCATCGGGTTGACAGTCACTTCGGGGTTTAGGGTGTTGGGGTTTAGGGGTTTAGGGTTTAGGGGG